ACGTGGGCGTTTGTCTAAATTGAATGGACCTCCCTTCCCCCCGCCCCCCCAGCCCCCTTTTCCCGCCCTTTCCCTACCGTCATTCGGGCAGCCGCATGCTCTCGCGTAAAACTCACAAAGAGTCACCAATTCCAAATTCCAGCCAGGCTACACACTTTCGCCACGGGTGGTTGTTCTTATTGGTCGGAAAATTGGTGATTTGTTCAGCGCGTCAGAGTAACATGCACTGGCTCCGTTTGGACGCGCCAACGTTATAGGTAGTGTAGCAACGACATGGAGTGGTACCTCGATACCGATCATGTACGGTAATGTACAACCAGGCGACCAATCGACGGTCATGCACGAGCATGAGTTCAGACCAATTGCCGAGGGCGGTTTTGACAGCGTACATGAACCTAATCCTGCATTCATGAACTTATCCTCGCCGCCAACCTCTGAACATGAGCTTTCATGCCACATCACGACCGTCACAGCTCCCCTCTCTCGCACCCTTTCCCTCTGTGATAGCTATCAACAATCATCCAACCTTTGTGCTCTTTGTGGTTTGTTTCTTGTACTCGCGATACCTTAGTCATTGCAAATTGCCAGCTATTCGGTGGCGTATAGCGTTCTGGGCGTGTGATGGATCTTCGTAGCAAAACGGTCCTCGGTAAACGGCAGGATGAGTCGGGCCACGAGGAATCCGACGGCGGTGAATCTCACGATTCGGACGTCAAGCTCGTCACCGACGAGCACGGGAAAGGCAGGAGAAAGGGGAAGCAACGGAAAGGACCGGAGAAGCAGCATAGCACCGGTGGATTCAACTTCAAAACCAACATAGTGAACAAGGAGGTGTTGCCGCCCGTCGATGACATCATCTCCGCCTTCACCAAAGGTCGTGGGCCGCCGGCTCAAACTAAAGGCTGTCGCGGCCCTACCATCAAGAGTCAGCACTTCCCAACGAAGCCGTTGTACAACGCCATCGGCCAAAACGCCTTCGTGAGCCCTATTGACGCGATGCGCATTCAGGATGGATACGAGCTCAGCACGGCATTAATCGACTTCCACAACATGTGAGTGCGTTGTTCCCGCGGGTAAGCACACTCACACTATATTGCCGGCGCCTAACACCGGCTCTCCGTGTCTGTGTATTCACCCCGCGCAGTTTGCTGAGCATCAGGCATTCCAAAACACCAAGCGGGGAGACATGGGTTGCGCTTGACACTGGAGCGTATCTGATGGCGGCGAATCAACAGGTTCTCTTCACTGGATTCGAGGGCGGCACCATTCTTGACTACAACTACGTCCTTGTAGTTGTAACTACACTGTAAGACATGCATGCTCAATCTCGATGTACGCGCGTACCGCGGCATCGCCATGCTGTGTACTTACATTTAAGTTGGTATTGTGGCAGTGAGCCAAGGCATTTCAGCCTTGTTGTTTTCAAGGAGCCTGGCAGGGCAAGAACAACTGCTATAAAATCGGGGAACACGGAGCTTCCGGTGGCCTACCTGTTCGACTCGACTGGTGATCATCGGAACATGGCTCCGTCGGTGTTCGCCGAGATCCAAACGTAAGTTGCACGGGCATGCATCGCCTCCTAAGTTTCGTCGTGCTAATGATCGCATGGTTGCTTCGCCGCTTGTAATGCACTTATGCATGCATCGTTGCTGTGTCCAGGCTGCTCGGTCTGGCGCTACAAGCCGAGGAGCCCGGCCTCTCTGCCACCGCAATCAAGCAGCGGCTTGATCCGATGCCTTGCGTCCCGCTTGGGGTAAGCACTCAAATATTTCGCGCAGGGTTTTTTTATCAGATCTCATCCATGGAACGTTCATCAATATTGCTCACCTTGTTTGTTTTCGCGTGTGCAGTACTATCAGTGCCCGATGCAGGCCAACCAAGTAGACTGTGGTGTCTACGTTTGCATCTACGCATCTGAGCTGGTTGCCCGTGGCTTCGCTAATCTGGACGATGGGCTGCCAGCCTTGCCCTATGGTGGTGGCCTTTTCCGGAGGGGGATGCGTGCGGACATAGTCGAACATGCACTCAAGCGGTTGATCCCAACCCTGGAGAGGTCTGGAGTTATGGTGCCCCACCAAGATCCGCCGCTCAGCAAGCGCGTGAACAAGCCAGTGTCTCCGGAGCTGGCCGAAATCGACGCGAAGCTGCGTGATGCTGTCGGCGACATCCACAACATCTCCTGCCGCGTGGGGTACTGTGAGAAAGACATCACCAAGCTCGAGCTCCTGGTGGAGAGTCTCACCAACGACTTGTCCACCACCCGCGACGAGCTCACCGCGTTGTCAGCGCAAGTAGCAGCCTTACCAGCACCGCCGCAGCAGGGGCGTATTGGAGGAGCTGGCAGACCCTGCGCGAGAACCGACGACCCTGCCACCCAGCAAATTCTGGCGCCGACTGCGCAACTCGAGCAGCAAGGGGATTCTCATCAGATTCAAACGGCCCACGGCGTTATCAACGGGCTGCTGCCCGGTACGCCCGGCGATGCATTGACCTCGTATCGTTGCGTTGCGCGCGGTGGAGCTCTGCCTGCCCCTTCGGAGGATCACTCTGGGTGTATGGGCCCGCCGCCACCGCCATCACACTCTGTCGGGGGAGTGGTTGGATCGGGGGAGTACGCGGGTGTTAGGCTCCTCCCAGACGGAACTTGGCAAGCGAAGATTGTCCCTGAGCCCGGGTCATCAAGGACGCTGATTCTTGGCCACTTCCAAGACCAGCAGCAAGCGGCCCGCGCGTTCGCTGCAGCTGCAGCCGTGCTCAGGCGGAGCAAGCCTCCCCGGGGTCGTGTGTGGCAGCTCACCGGCGAGGAGATGGACCTGCTGGATGGCTGCACGGCCGAGATCGTGCGGCAGCTCACTACCGCACGCGTCTGGGGGCGGTGGGAAAGGTGGCGCGTCGAGCTTGCTTCCCTCGGTGGTGCCAACCCCACCCCTGCATCCCCCGCTGTTGTGGCTGCAGCGCCAACCGCACCCGCAGCTGCTCCAACCACACTTGCCCCGGCGAATGCAGGCATCGCCCCTCCTGCCGTGGCTATTGCACCTGCACAGCTCACCCCTCCCGGTGGAGCTACTGCTTTGCACGCCGGAACAACTCCTGTGCCTGCGGGGGTTACTCCCGCCCCACCAGCCCATTCTACGCAAGCCACATTGACCAACCCCCCTGTGCAGGCTGATGTTGTGGCGTTTGCCTCGCTGTCGTTGCCAGAGAGCGACGAGGGGGATGTGGGCAACAACGCGACAACCCACCCGACAGGTATTGATTTGTTGCAGCGTGGTGTTTAGACAACGCACTAGCCAGGGTTTAGACATTAACCTGCTGTTCTCGTCTTCAGTGTGTCAGAGCCCAACAGCTTACGAAAGTGTGACGATGGAGCTGATTTTCATGAACACCATGCTGTTTTTCGCACTGTGGCCTTTGTTGCTCTTTGCGGGGTTTGTAGGACTGTAGCATGAACAATATGTTGAACTGCTGGCTGTCAGCCATGTTTTTGAGTTCACTAAAGACCCCAACCTGGCGGCAACAAACCCAAACGATAGCGCACCAGCTCACCAGCCGGCCCAATGTGTGGTGATATGGGAGTAAGGCCTACGATCATGACACCACAGACCATCATGATCTCGTCGATAGTCATGCGCGTTTTTTCATGACGCGTGGTGGTTTCGCACGCCACACCGCCACGAAATATCACCCCCCGATTGCGCGACCCTATAAGCTATAACGATCCGGCACCTGTGACAAATCGTGGCATTTTATAACAGCGTCTGCAACACTTTTTATTTCGGTTGTATAAATGCAGAGGAAACAACTCAAACAGTGACAACGGCCATGAACACGGGTTTAGGGGCCATAAACGGTGTCTAAGGTCTCACAGAAATGATTATGCCGTGTTCCACAACCCCGGCTTTAGACACTTGCATAACGAGAGAAGCATCGTACAACCGATTTTTCATAAATCACTATCTTTTCACTTGTTGTCCCGAGTACGCATAGTACCCCGCCTCGGGGTGTGTGCTGTGCGACTGGTAGCCTTAATCAGAGTTTTCATTCTGCCCTCGAGCTCAAGGGCTCATCACATCATGGTCAGTGGTGTGCTTTAGACTAGCATCATCTCCTGGTCACTGGTACGCCAGTGTCTACCTTAGTGAGGTGATCCTGAGTAAATTATGAACAATGACAATAGTATCAAATCTCATGCTCCATGTAACGTACTGCTGTTTTGTTACCAGGGTTATGGGGTGCGTGCTGAAAGTATTGTGCGTGCTGAAAGTATTGTGCTGAAAGTTTTTAACATGTAGTCAATGTTATGAGTTTTAATTATACCGGTGGCATTGTGCACGCCATATTTTATTAGAGGATGAGGGTGTATAATTTTCCACAACACCGTCACAACAAATACGCACATCGAATGACACGCAATGAAGGGGCCATTCTCGGTTCATGTTCCTTCGCGCAAATTAGGGTCAACCCCGACGACGAATCATGTTGCAGGCATCACGTCCATGAGAGTTCATGTTCGTCCGTGCAGGTAGTCAACTTCCGAGCCACTAGCACGAGTTTGTTCATGATTGAAAGTGTAGGCATTCACGCGCGACTTCCAGGACCCGCGCTTGTAGGCTGTTCGAATCTTGACAGGTCGAGATGCGTTCATGCACTATGGAGAGTTCATGATTCGTCATGACTAGCTGCGCGACATCGCCCCGCGATTTCCAGGCCCTCGAATCATGTATGTAAAAGGGTCGATCATGACGCTCTATGCACAGGTCAAGGAGAAAGCAGAGGGAGTCAAGTGCACACTTTACACACGTGAATCTCCCAACTCCTGGCCAGATTTGTGTGGGTCTTGTTGAATAAGTATTGCACAGCAGCACTACTCAACTAAACAATTTTGTTTCGTATATTATATTTTCTAGTACTCTCGTCAATGAAATGTTTTCTTCGGCAGGGATCCAAGGACACAAAACAAGGCCCAATACTCGCATGGGAAAGCCTGTTTTACTCGACATTCATTCATGGGCAGCTTGGTGCCCCCCTCCATGCTCTCCTGTAGCAGTTCCATCCTCCCCCTCCTCCTCCTCCTCCTCCTCCTCCTCCACCTCCTCCCCCACCGCAGTCGGCGCCTGACCGTACCCACCGTACTTGTACTTGCACCTTTTGCGGTTGTGCCCATACTGTCGGCATCGACCACACCGATAAGCGTGCGGCGGTGCCTCGAACCGGGTGTGATTCTCTGGCCTCCCAACCCTCGTCTCAATCAGCGCTGGTGCATCGCACTCGCCCACTTGTGCCAGTGGAGCCTCCATAATCAGCCGGTCCACACAGGTACCCATCACATCCCGGTTGTATGTCTGGCGAAGATTGCGAGTGGTGTAGTACTCAGACACAAGGATCTCCACACTCCGCTGCTTCAGAATGCACATTGCCACGGCGTGGGCACAAGGGAACTGGTACTCCTCCCAGTTCCCGCACTCGCACGTCCGGGCATCGAGGTTCACGTTGAAGCTCCGCCACTGGGACTCGTTTCCCCCCCCCCTGGTCTGGATGGTTCCCACAGAGTTGTCCCCACCGATGAACCAATACCCCTGGCACCTCTGCTTCTTTTGGTCCAGTCGTTTCGATGCGGCAGCCGTGAGATACTCATCCCTGCAGCGCGCCTTCTCCTTCCTCTCGTACCACTTGTCGCGAGACCAATCCCAAAGGGATGCTAGGAGCCACGTTGGTGGCAGCATTCGGATGCCGCGGACAGCGCTGTTGATGGACTCCGCGGCGTTGCTTGTGTAGATGCCAAAACGCAGTGTCACCGCAAACAGACGGGCCCAGTGCATGAGCATGATTCCCCCAATGCGATAAGAGGATCCGCGCCTGTTACGATAGAACCCTGTGCGCACATGTATTCCGGGTCCTCCATCAACATCGGCCGCCTCATCCCCATCCTCCGTAGCATCCACTGGCACCGGATCATCCTCACATGCTGGCTCATCCGGCCCTGGCGCAGGAATGTTCTCCCGCTGCCCGCAGTCTGGCCATGGCAGAGCCAGAGCCGATGCTGGGTGGAAGTGCTCAGTAAACCCACCCATCTCAGATCCCTGAGTGCCCGTGGTCCTCCCCGTGTCAATGTCCTCTGACCGGTACCACTCTCGGGCACGTCGCAGGACCGTGTTGACGTCAAATGCTCGTGCACCCGGGTTCCCCAAAGTGGTGAGAGCGCCTATCCCATCACCCGTGGAGCATGATGCCAAACCATTATCACGCACAGATGCTGGAGCTCGCTGCACGTCGCCCCCAGAGGGCACTGGTGAGCCCCCCCTTCCAACGGACCCCACCCCACCCATGAAATTCGCGCCCAGGCCAACCCCAAACGTAACATCACCGCGTGGCCCGCAGTGGTGTCGCCTGGGTCCTGCAGTCTGAGGACTGGGCCAAGACCCTACCAATTCACCGCTCGCAGCATATACACTATCTCTTGCTCCAGGGCCGAACAACGGCTCCCCCCCATCCGCACTCCCGATGCCTGACCATCTTGCTCCGCCGCGTCCTCGCCCTCCAGAAGCATCACCAAGCGGGACTCCCCTCCCTCCACCTCCAATGCCGGACCATCCTGCTCCTGCACCCCCCTGACCTCCAGGAGCCCCACCAAGCGGGACTCTCCTCCCTCCACCTCCAATGCCGGACCATCCTGCTCCTGCACCCCCCTGACCTCCAGGAGCCCCACCAAGCGAGACTCCCCTCCCTCCACCTCCAATGCCGGACCATCCTGCTCCTGCACCCCCCTGCCCTCCAGGAGCATCACCAAGCGGGACTCCCCTCCCTCCACCTCCAATGCCGGACCATCCTGCTCCTGCACCCCCCTGCCCTCCAGGAGCCCCACCAAGCGGGACTCCCCTCCCTCCACCTCCAATGCCGGACCATCGTGCTCCTGCACCCCCCTGCCCTCCAGGAGCCCCACCAAGCGGGACTCCCCTCCCTCCACCTGCAAGTCCGGACCATCCCGCGCCAGCATCCCCCTGCTCCCCGGCGGCCCCACCGAGCGGCTCTTCCCGTACTCCACCACCAACCCCCGTGAAGTGTGATCCGGCACCCCCATGCCCTCCGCAATCGCCCGCGGGGGGCACTCCTCTACCTCCCCTGCCAAGGCCCGCCCCTGCAACGCCACCGCCTCTACCTCTGCGACCACGTCCAGATGAAGCTCGTCCTCGCCCTCCACGGCCGATGCCAAAAGCAGCCGCTCCGCCATCCCCTTCGTCTGGTATCCCTGACGGGACTCCAATACCCTCGTGCGCTCTGGCCCGTCTTCCAGGTGCGTTCATCCCCCCTCTGCCAGCCAGGCCGCCGCCACGCCTGTTGTACGCGGACGTGTTGCCCTCCGGGAACCCACTCCCTTCGGGTTGGGACGCGGTGTTGACGCCACCATTTCCCGCGTTGCCACCACGCTCCTGCCCTCGCTGTGCCCTCCTCCCTTCGCGAGCATCCGCGAACACGAAATCCCTGGCCCCCTCAAATGTTGCCCGGGCTCCAGGAGGGGGGACCCGAGGAGCCGGCTGGGGTTGTGGCTGTGGCTGCTGCCGGACAGGCCCGAACAGATATGCGGCCATGTCAGGAAAATCTCGTCGTGCGGCCCCGACAAGCGCAACCCATTTCGTTTCAGACCGACACTTCACCAAGCGCCAGAAGAACGCTGTTGCCGCTTTGCCGAACCGCTTAAGGTTCTGCTCCAGATGCCACGCACAGAAATAATGGGGGATGTGGCTTGGCATCACCTCCCTTGCTGCCGGCACCAACCCCTTATCGCGATCGCTGATGATGGAGGCATCGTCCCTACGCGCCCACTCTGGGAACCCCTCAAGGAACAGCTTCAGAAACCAGGTCCACGCGTCCTTGTTCTCCGACTCCACCAAGGCCCATGCAAGTAACAGAATCTCCTGGTTCCCGTCAATGGTGACGGCGATGAGCAGCACAGCCTTCTGCGCACTAATGAGATGTGTACCGTCGAGCGCAACAACCGGGCGGCAATAATTTAACGCATGCCGTGCTGCAGAGGGACGCACGTAGAATCGGTGGAAACACCGATCTAATGTGTCCAACCGCACTTGAACTTCCGGATCGATGACTGTGAAACGAGTGAGAAGCCACGGAACCTGGCGAAAGGACTCCTTCCAATCTCCATATCGCTCCTTTAAGATGTACTCTCGAAGCCGCCAAGCCTGCCAGTAGTGGATCACTACCCTTCCATGACCCTCGAGCATTCTTTTGAGCTCCACGGGTGAGATGAATGGATTTGCACGGACCAAATTGCCGTATCGCCGAGCGAGGATGGGAATACTGTTGGCTAACCCCTCGGCGTAACCCTGCCTCCAATGCAACGGACACGTATGCATTTCCGGAGAAACGAGCCGCGTAATACGCCATAAACCACCGTGTCCGATTTGCCCATATGTGCAGCTCCATAGGCACGCGGGTAACCATCCGTCCGATGAAGCCTTGCATCCAACCACTGCGTAGTTATGCTTCACTAAAAGGACTTTTACACCAAACCGATGCTCTAGAGCGTACGCATAAACGGCCTCCTTGCATTTATCACGGCTAGAGTACAGGCCCCCCAGCTCCAATGGCGCGTAGTCATTAGGCCTGTCGTACCTAGGGTTGAACTCGGGAGCCGCATTAAGCTGTCGCAAGGCCTGCGCTAAGGGATTAGAGGCCATACGCACGCGTTAGACGCTACATGGTGACCAGTATTGTCAGAGATCAGCTAAGACTATTCAGTGGAGTACTAATGCGGGCCCGGATATGAGTTGCCTAAAGTAATGACTGCGTTAGGTGTCTACCCGGTATTGTAAAACGGGAGACTCGCCTAAGCTTCACAGGAACATGATGCTTACGGAAGGGTTCATGAACCGTTGAGGATCACGAATGCTTTGATCATGAAACCGTGAAGGCCGGAAATGACATGGCCAGATCCCGAAGGACACAGTACAATCAACCTGTATATAAGCCTCTCGAGTTATAATACATGGCCCAGAAAATTCCGAAATTTTGCAGGGACAAATGATGTGGCTTCCTCCACGTTCTATTACACGTGGCATGGGGTTGGTTGGTTGCTTTTCGTGACTGCTTGTGGCAATTGTGAGTTTTACGCGAGAGCATGCGGCTGCCCGAATGACGGTCGGGAAAGGGCGGGAAAAGGGGGCTGGGGGGGCGGGGGTAAGGGAGGTCCATTCAATTTAGACAAACGCCCACGTGGCGAGCGGGGAGCAATTTAGGTCGATTCAATTGAGACAAACACGATTTTCGCCGATGCGCGCGATTTCGCCATGAAATTGCGTCGCTGATGTCCGTACCTGCGCATCGACTTGATACTTCCACTACAGTGCTTGACACTCTATTTTGAATGCGCTTCGGGTTGACACGCTCTCACCTGACATGTCAACCCTACGGACACGAACTGAGAGTTCATGTTCTCATTTCCAGCATGCTGCTTTGCCACAGCAGTAGAGTGGGCGACGTTGCTCGATGTCAACCTACTTCCCTCTGCATTAGTCAATTCCAAAATTGGTCGTTCCTCACAATAACGAAAATGTTCGACATGAAATCGGGTTCGTCGAGTCCACGCGTGGCGCTTTCTTTGATGCTGGTGTTGATTTCAATTTCTGGCGGAAGAACCACCTCGGACGAGCATAACAGAAGGAGCTTAGGTGGTGTGGGGCTCGAACATGCCATGTCGCTCTATCGAGTAAGTTACATGTCTCCGCGTTGCGTCAATTCCCTTCCAAGGATGTGTCGACAAACCCTCCCAGCGCCTTTCTTCCCCGCGAGTTATCTAGTGCCATTCCTAGCGTCAACCTGAACTACAAACATGTCGCAAATTCCTCCTTTCACTCGAAACATATCCGCACCTCACCGCTCTTCTGGCCCAACTCTCTCCGCTGATTTTCCGAAGTCTTAATTTCTCCGCATTACCTCTCCTCCCACGGGCCTTCCTCCCGCTGATTCCCAGAGCTGGGAGAAGGCTTACGGCCTAGAACCCGACTCCGTCTCTCCTCCGGAAAAGTTTGAGCTGCCCGCGAATCTTCCGCCAGCTCCGCACCTGGAGGACTGCTCCGCGCGCACAGCCTTCCGCCTGTCCGCGGAGCAGAGGGGACCGGACGGGTCTGCGCCCAACTGGACCCGCCCCTCCAACTGCTGCAGCTGCAGCCCGCAACCCCCTTGGGTAAGCTTGGATCTAGACATTCCGCTTAGATTCCGCTTTGGCTGCTTTCTTCCCCATGCATGTGCCTCTTTCTAACTGGACCCGCCCCTTCAACTGCTGCAGCTGCAGCCCGCAACCCCCTTGGGTGAGTTTGGTACAGATGGGTAAGTAGCGAGCTGGTCTGGATGTCTGCAGTCCTTTTGAGGCGCCTCAAAATGCACCTCACTTTTGAGGCGCCTCAAAATGCACCTTCCTTGGGTGAGTTTGGTACAGATGGATAAGTAGCGAGCTGGTCTGGATGACTGCAGTCCTCCACTCTTTATTCAACTCTTGACACGTCAGTAAACTACCCAGAAATCGCCCGAATTCCCTCGATTTCCCGATATCTCCAACTTCCCCTCCCAATCACGCCCACCTTCCCTTCTATTCCCTCCCCGTCTCGTGCTCCATCTTGCTTCCTCTTCGCAGGTCCGTGGAGATGATCTGGCCAATCTTGCGCTGACACGTGTCGTGCAGAGGGACATCTGGGAGAGCCAGTTCCCTGCCACGTGCAAGGGCAGGCGAATCCTGCTGGCGGAATGGGTAGACGGACCGACACCAGGTCCAACCCAGACAGCAGCAGCAGCAGGGGCAGCAGGGGCGGACTTCGGGGCATTTGGCATGGGGACGCAAATCCAAGTCATGTTTGCGTTTCTGAGCATTGCTGTGCGGCATAACCGCACGCTAGTGTTGGCGCCAGGGACGTATTCCAGAGCCAACAACTCGGCATGCCAAGGTATGCACTTGCTGCATACTCTGGTAGTGGTGATTCTGGGGAGTTAAACAAGTTCTTGTTTTGGTTCACCTTCTCAGCATTGCTGTGCGGCATAACCGCACGCTAGTGGTGGCGCCAGGGACGTATTCCAGAGCCAACAACTCGGTGTGCCAAGGTATGTATGTGCTGTGAAGTGATATCATGCTTTGGTCTGGTGGTCGCATCTTGTCTCCCTTCTTGAATGGCTGCACGGTGTGACCACACTCGGGTGGAGGCTCCTGCCTGTGATGTTTCCAAAAGTCAACGACTGGTGATAAAACTCCATACCTTCTTCTTATCCGATCCTCCTTCCCTCATTTTCAGCCACAGGTCACATGGGCGCCTGGGAGTGCTACTTCTTTTCTTCCTGATCTCCTCCCAGGAGTGTGTGGACGAGGCTGTTGCATCTGTGGTTATAGAGCAGGATTTAAATATCGCACCCTCTCCCTTTTTCCCTCCTATTGCATTTCAGCCACAGGTCAGATGGGCGCCTGGGAGTGCTACTTCTTCCAAATCTCCTCTCAGGAGTGCGTGGATGAGGCTGTAGCAGCTGTAGCAGCCAACCAAGCTGCTTCGGCCAACGGACCTGACATGGAGGCTCGGCTGGCCTCGCCGGACCTGGTCGTCAGGTTCGCCGATGCAAGGCATTTTGAAGACATGGATGGGGCCAAGTGAGTAAGCCCTCTGTTGTGGTGTACAACTGTTTTTCCTGTTCTAAGGTCCCTCCCCCCCCTCTCCCCCGCCCCCCCCCCCCCCCCTCTCCCTCTGGTACACAAAAGTTATCCTTAACATGGACTAATTGTCTTTCCAAAGCGTTCATCAGGCACACAAGAAAAGAATAGCAGCGATGGGGCACACTGCTGAAGGACAAATCATCAACCATGGAGGTGCAGGGGATGCTGGAAAATTTACCCGTGGCTTGCATACTGTGTGTGTGTGTGAAGAGCTTTGTGGTGATGCTCTTCCATTCCCCCACTTGTCACTCCGCACTCTCCCTCCTCAGGCGGTGGGGCATGCCATGGAGGGACCGACCATCCACAGTGGAGGTGCAGGGGGTGCTGGAAGAGTGTGGCTTGCATGCTACGCTTGAGTTACTTTTGAGTCGACTCAAAAATCGCCCCATCACGTGCTGGAAGAGTGTGGCTTGCATGCTACTTGTGAGTGTCTTTGCGTCGTATGCTCTTCCGCTCCCCCTGTCTTTGTTCCTCACTCTTCCTCCCCCCTCAGGCGGTGGGGCATGCCGTGGAGGGACCGACCATCCACAGTGGAGGTGCAGGGGGTGCTGGAAGGCGCGGATGAGAGGACCATGCAGGTGAGGCCACTTCTTCACAGTAAGCCACTGTGCCCGCCACTGTAGCTCAACACACCAACGCCCAAAGTAGCACCATGCTCATCACAGTGGAGGTGCAGGGGGTGCTGGAAGACGCGGATGAGAGGACCATGCAGGTGAGGCCACTTCTTCACAGTAAGCCACTGTGCCCGCCACTGTAGCTCAACACACCAACGCCCAAAGTAGCACCATGCTCATCACAGTGGAGGTGCAGGGAGTGCTGGAGGAGGCGGATGAGAGGACCTTGCAGGTGAGGCCGTCGGTTGATGTGATGATGCAAGTGTGTGGCTGAGTGCGTCACTATAAGTCACCCCACTTCTGTAGCACAGTACTACCACTCGTATCAGTGTGGGGGTGCAGGGGGTGCTGGAAGAGGCTGACGTGAGGACGATGCAGGTGAGGCCGTTGGTTGATGTGATGATGCAAGGGCGTGGCTCACTGCATCACTCTTATTCACCGCACCACTGTAGCTCGTCACACCAATTCCGACCATCCATAGTGGAGGTGCAGGGAGTCCTGGAAGAGGCGGATGGGAGGACGATGCAGGAGAGGCAGTTGATGGGATGAAGCTCAGACCAGCAGTGTAAGACGCTGCAGCAGAGCATGTCACTGGACCACCGGGTGGAACTCACTACATTCACGCACTTGTTATATTGAACACTCGGTCTTCCATTTCACAAGGCCTCTCCTTTCTCTTCCCCTTCCCCTTTTTTCCCTTTCCCCTTCCTTCAATTTCCCCATCTTGAAACCCCTTTCCCCTTTCTGATTCCATCCCCTTTGCTGACTCAGCATCGGTGGTGGCACGCCCAGTCAGCACGCTTCCTCCTCCGCTGGCCATCCGCACACCTCTGCCACGTCATCAACCACATCCGCCACGTCAGCTACGGCCTGCGAGTGGCCGTGCACATATCTGACATCAGCACAGAAGAATCTTCCATCATCCAATCCCTCGAAAAGGGCACCAGCTTATCGGGAAAAGGCATTCCAGATTTCAATATGACCAAGGAAGCAGAGTTTCTTAAAGGCATCAACTTTGCTCCGCCAAACCTGGAGACTGACGTCTGGCCCGGGGAAGGCTTTGCTGGATGTTTGGTTCGGGACACGGACGGAGAGAAACCTGCCACTATAGACAAAACCTATAAAGAAGTCGGCGGGGAGGTGTTTATGTTCCGACCAATCGTGAGCGTACACGTGGCGCATGGAGACGCTGTGCTGGAGGGAAGGGGAGCCCAGGGGGGTTTACCGGAAGGAGGGTCTCGAGTAAAGCTGAGGTCGCTAGGAGTGTACATGTATTTTGCGTATCAGCTGCAGCTGCATGTTCCGACCATCAATCATGCTTGGTTAAGCACAGATGCACAGGTGAGAGGCCCGATCTTTTGGTCTCTCTCAATGCTTTCTTGCTTTGTACGTCACTTGCTTTTCGTTGTGTTTCGCTTTGGTTTGTGTTGATCTCATTCCGCCCCCGATTTTCCTCATCCTCATGTGCATTTCTCAACCTGTGTTACATAACCGTGTGTTGTGTTGCATCCAGTCTACACTAGAGGAGGCTAAGCAACTGCGTGACTGGAGCTTCTTATATTCCGAGCACCCATCACAGCCGACAGTGCCGGCTGGTGGTGTGGCAGCTGGGGATGGGAGCGGCGACCTTTCTGCAAATGACAAGACGGTTGCAGTAAAATTCGCAAATCTGCTTATCGCAGCTGAGTGCGACTATTTTGTAGGAATGCTTGGTTCGAATTGGAACCGGCTTATTGATGTTTTGCGCAGCACCAATGGCAGGCTTTTCTCAGGCTATATGGCCTTAAACTTATGAATGCTACATTTGTATCCCTTTGAGATGCCTCAACGCAAAAGAGCTGGAGTTTGCTTAGTGCAAATAAAATGATGATGCATATCACCTTTCAAATTTGTGAGATGCTGATGTTGACTATGTGCGAAGGTCGTAGAGGGAGCTCATATCGAGAATTTCGTCAATCACCCAGCCACCGAGTCACCGACCTCTAATGCGGTTCCCTCAAGTTTCCCGTTTGGCGGTTCCCCAAAATTTGACGGCCAAGCGACTCGCGGCAAGTAACAACAAGTTTCCGGTCGCAGGACAAAGACTTCCGCCAGCCCCTTTCTCGGACCGACCCGACACCTTTCACCCCCTCCATCCCAAAACTCCAGTGGGCGGGGCAGTGGCTCTTTCCCGCCAAGCCAGCTCTCTCCCCGCGCCGAGACACCTCCGCGATACCTTTCCGTCTCGTCCGCCAACGCGTGCCCTTCCCCCGACCCACCCAAACCAATTTCGTCACATCCCTGTCCCAAACCAGCCTCTTCTAATCCGACTTGCTCACCGAACTAAAACTTATTCAACCATTCAATAAACTAACGAACCCTCCTATTTCACCCTTTGAGTTCATCTTGACACTGAACTGTTCTTCGGGCACACCGCGCTCCAGTATCCTCGTGACGGCAATTTCGAGGGAGCGGAACTTCCACCATCACCACGGGGGGAATCTGATGCTTTGTTTGGGTTTGACTGGAGCACAAGCAGGTCTAGAGGGAAGGTATCCATGCTTGCTGTGCCTGAAACCGTGTTCTCGATTTCAACAGTTCCGTTTCGAATCCCTCGAAGGTCCATGGCGATGGATTAGCAGAGCGACCCTGGCATCGCAGTGCATTTCTAGGTTTTAGTCCGCCAGCTGAGCTTCAATCTCCAGTTTCCGTATTTTTGTACGCTGTCAGCTGCCATTTCGTGAGAGTCGCTGAATTGATATCACCTAGTAATGCTCAATTGGTCAAACTACTAGTAGTGTCTTCAACTCGTCAAACGCCAAGCAACTGAGCTTCATAGCTGCTATTTATTCGCAGTATCTTGCCTTTGTCTGTTCTAATTCTCAACAAAGCGCACATATTTCTTTCGACATCCGCGATAGATTCGAACCGCCCCCATGACCTCGAGCTCGTTGCGTCATTACAAAGGAAGATGACAGCACAGATGAGCTCCTCCTTGGAGTGGCGAATGCGCAAGCAGCAGAGCAAGCTAGGGTTGCCGGTAGACGAGCCGGAGCAGCAGCAGGAGAAGTTAGGCTGGCCGTTAGTTAAGCCGGAGCAGCAGCACAGGGAGTTAGGGTGGCCGATAGATAAGCCGGAGCAGGAGCAGGGGGGATTAGGGTGGTCTGTAGATAAGTGGGTGAAGGAACAGGGGCAGCGGCGACCACAGCATCGTCACACTATTTATATCGATAGGAATGCGCATTTTGATGGAATAGAAACGGGTATTAATGACAGGCAGGAGGGGCATGATACTGATGCTGGGGAATCAGGTATTTATGAAAGGCAGGAGGAGCCTGCGACGACGAGGATGCGACGACAGCCGTCGCACGCTGCACATAAAACGCCGTCGCAACTGAAATCGCCGTCGTCATGTCGCATGCCATGGCGACATTCTTCGAAGTCACGATTTGATGTGGCGCATGCAGCAAGGTCAATTTCCCTACCGAAGCTTTGGTCAACCTCCGTTCGAAGAACGTCAGTTTCCGTCCTTCTCCGTTTCCTTCTAATTATCTTTACGTTCCAGTCTTCTCTCGCTTCGACAGATACGGCTGACGCAAGCAGCAGCTTCTTCCACGTAGGCAGCACCGCAAATATAGTCAGCAACGGCGTCATCCGTGTAGATAGCAGCCGAGTAGAGAGCCACGTGGAATTAGCAGGAGACGAGAGAGCAGCAGCGAAGGAGGATGGAGCGGAATTAGAACGAGCAGCGGCGGTCAGATGGCGGGCGGAGAGGCAGTTGATGATTGCGTTGAGAGCAGCGGCAGCAGGGGGGTGGGTGGGGGCACTGGAAAGGCCGAGAGCTGTAGGGAACGCGAGTGTCTCAGGTTCGGCTCAACAGTCGTTAGGACAACCGAGAGTAGCAGGGAACGTGGGTGCCAACGTGGCAGGGAACGTGGCCAGGAACCTGCGTGCTACTGCGTTGAGGAGCAGGAAGCTGGCGGCCGCGAAGCTGCCGTCACAGAAAGGTCAGCAGAAAGGGTGGAGTGGCGAGACCTTGTTTCTTGGTGAGTTGAGAGTATCAGAAGCGGGTCTCTGCGAGTACGTGCATTTGTAATCGACTCTAAAAGAGCGTGCGTGCTGCTGCGTTGAGGAGCACGAAGCTGGCGGCCGCGAAGCTGCCGTCACAGAAAGGTCAGCAGAACGAATGGAGAGGCGCGGCGGTTTTCGCTAGGAATTTCTAAAAAATACCCTGAAAAGTCAGCAGAAAGTGTGTGACACGATGCTATTTTTGAGACTTGTAACAGTATCTTGAACTGTCAGCAGGAGGAACCGTGGATGGGCGAGACTGTGTAGCTTGGTACCAACTTGAGAGAGTCCCAGAAGCCGTTCTTTGGGAATATGGCTGAACGGTTACCAGACGCAGCAGCACCTCTCACCCTCAGTCACCCTAATCGGTTATCTCCATTCCTCCTTCGCCAGGCTTCGTGAGCATAGACTGTGGCTACATGGGCTTGTCGGTTGCTGGTAACTAGCAGCCATGGGTTACATGTGGTTACATGGCCTTATGTGGTTACCAGGCTCAGCAGCGTCTCCCACTTTCCCATCTTGTCTCTCACCTTCCTCTACCCCAGGGTCTCTCGCTCTCTCCCCCTTATCCCTCCCTCCCTCGCTCCATCTCCCCTTCACCAGGCTTCGTGAGCCTAGACTGCTGCTACATGGGCTCGGCGGGCCCCAGCAACCTGGTCTCAAATGGTTGCCGGACACATTCCTCCCCTGTCTGTCGCATTCCTTATCCCTCCCTCCCTCCGGTCCCCCCCTCCCGCCTCAGGCTTCGTGAGCCTAGACTGCGGCTACATGGGCTCGGCGGGCCCCAGCAACCTGGCCTCAAATGGTACCCGGACACAGCAGCACCTCTCGCTTCCTTCCCTTTAATCTCTCTCCTCCCTCCCCCCCTCCCTCCCTCCCTCCCTCCCTCCCTCCCTCCCTCCCTCCCTCCCTCCCTCCCTCCCTCCCTCCCTCCCTCCCTCCCTCCCTCCCTCCCTCCCTCCCCCTCTCCCTCCTCCTTTCGTCAGGCTTCGTGAGCATAGGCTGCGGCTACATGGGCTCGGCGGGCCTCAGCAACCTGGGCCTCACGTGGTTACACAGACACGGCAGCAGCGCCTCTTACTTTCCCATCTTGTCTCTCACCTTGCTCACAACCTGGCCCCCTCCGCCCCTCCCTCTCCCCTCTTCATCAGGATTCGTGAGCATAGACTGCGGCGACATGGGTTCTGCTGGTGCAAGCAATTCGGCCTCAAGTCGTTACCAACCACAGCAGCACCTCCCTTCCTTCCCCTATTTTCTCTCAACTTCCTCACACTTGGGCCCATCCCTCCTCCCTCCAGGCTTCGTGAGCATAGACTGCGGCTACATGGGTTCCGCTGGAGCCAGCAACCTGGGCCTCATGTGGTTACCAGACACGGCAGCACCTTATGCCGCTCTCTTTCTTATCCCTCACTCCCTCCCTCCCCCACCAACCAGGCTTCGTGAGCATAGACTGTGGCTACATGGGATCTGCTGGAGCTAGCAACCTCGGTCTCAAGTGGTTACCAGACACGGCAGCGCCGGGCGGCAGTGTGGCGGTGATCACCCGCGTGCCGGACGAACTGGTGGGGCAGGTGACGGTGGAGCAGACGCTGAGGGTGTTTGACGATGGGAAGCCGTCAAACTGCTACCAGATCCCCCTGGTTGCCCCAGGTGAGTAGGGCAGTGAAAGCAGAACTAGAGTGAGAATGTATGAGTGGCAGTGTGGCGGTGATCACCCGCGTGCCGGACGAACTGGTGGGGCAGGTGACGGTGGAGCAGACGCTGAGGGTGTTTGACGATGGGAAGCCGTCAAACTGCTACCAGATTCCCCTGGTTGCCCCAGGTGAGCTGACTGCAGCAGGTGAGTGGGGGTGCAGCAGGTGAGTGGGGGTGCAGCAGGTGAGTGGGGGTGCAGCAGGTGAGTGGGGGTGCCCCAGGTGAGTTGGGCAGTGAAATTGGGGTTTAAGTGAATGGACACGCTTATTAAGTGTGGCCGTGATCGCAGGTGAACCAACTGGTGGGGTTGCGATCGCAGGTGAACCAACTGGTGGGGTTGCGATCGCAGGTGAACCAACTGGTGGGGTTGCGATCGCAGGTGAACCAACTGGTGGGGTTGCGATTGCAGGTGAGCCAACTGGTGGGGTTGCGATCGCAGGTGAACCAACTGGTGGGGTTGCGATCGCAGGTGAACCAACTGGTGGTCGTCACATGCATGTCGGTACCTGGTGCGCTTCACGTTCTCGTACGGCAACTGCGGCAGCTAGAGCCTGCTTCTCCCCAGTCCGTACTCTGTTCCCCTGTCCCTCTAACCCCTCCCTTGCTTCTCCTGCAGACTGATGCCTGGTGCGCCTCTCCTTCTGGTGGGGCAGCTACGATGGCAAGAACCTATCACGTACTACTCTCGCCTTATGCCAGTCTCTTTCCCGCCCCTATACTCCTCCTCCTGCAGGCCGCTACCTGGTGCGCCTCACCTTCTGGTGACAACTACGATGGCAAGAACATGCTTCACACCGATACCTGCAAGAACCTCACCTCACCTTCCTCCGTTCCCTTTTGAGTCGACTCAAAAGTCACCTCGTTACTATGGCACACGACATTCTTTGAGTCGACTCAAAAAGTCAACATGCTTCACACCGATACCTGCAAGAACCTCACCTTCCTCCGTCCCCTTCTCTCTCTTCATTCCCAACTCCCCCACCCATCTCCCTCCTTCTCCCCCAGGTTGCTACCTGGTGCGCCTCACCTTCTGGTACAGTAACTATGATGGCAAGAACCTATCACGTGCTCTCGCCTTACACCAGTCCCTTCCCCGCCCAATGCTCTCTCCTGCAGGCCGCTCCTGATGCGCCTCCTGGTACAGTAACTACGAGGGCAATAACATGCTTCACACCACTCTTTCCACTGTTCCCCTGTCCCTCGAACCCCCCCCCTCCCTTGCTCCCCACCCAGGTCGCTACCTGGTGCGTCTCACCTTCTGGTACGGCAACTACGATGGCAAGAACATGCCACCCGTTTTCAACGTCACAGTCGGCACTGTGTCGCTGTAAGCTAGGCCCCCACCTTCTTCCTGTATCTTACTGCTTCCTTTGTACGTTCTCTTGGGCTGCATATTCAAGCGGCAAGAACGTGCCGCCCATTTTCCGCGTCACGGTCGGCACTGCATCCCTGTAAGCCAGCTTCTTCGTCCTCATCCCTTCTTCGTCCTCATCCCTTCTTCGTCCTCATCCCTGTAACAGTGCCAGCTCGCACCATGGCCATCTGCCTCATGCACGTCTCCGCCCACCCCATCATCAACGCCCTCCAGATCCGCCCCCCCTCCCTCCCTCCCTCCCTCCCTCCCTCCCTGCTCGTGACCAGCTACTGCTGCTGAACTGAACCTTCCCTTCTTCTGCCCTCGACTCCGTTTCTTTCCTCTCCTCCGCCTCTCCCTCTCCCTTCCCCCCCCTCCCTCCCTCCCCCCTTCCCCCCATCTGTCCCAACCCACAGAGGCCAATACACGCCATCCAACGACCAGATTCTTGTACTGGAGGTGATAGTAACGGTGCCAGCGCGCACCCTCGCCATCTGCCTCGTGCGCGTCTCGGCCGACCCCATCATCAACGCCATTGAAGTCCGCCTGCTCCCTGCTGATGCTAAACCCTCCTTTCTTCTCCACTCTACTCCGCTTCTTTGCTCTCTTCTGCCCCCGCCACCCACCCCATCCCCTCCCCCACCCCCCCCCCACCCCCTCCCCACCCCCCCCCCCCCCCCTCCTCCCCCCCCCGATAGAGGCCAGTACACGCCATCCAACGTCCAGATTCTTGTACTGGAGGTGATAGTAACGATGGCCATCTGCCTCGTTCGCGTCTCCGCCGACCCCATCATCAACGCCCTCCAGATCCGCCCGCTCCCTGCCTTCCTGCTCGTGACCAGCTGCCTCACCTTCCCTTCTTCTGCCCTCTACTCCGTTTCTTTGTTCTCTTCTGCCCCCGCCACCCACCCCACCCCCTCCCCACCCCACAGAGGCCAGTACACGCCATCTAACGACCACATTCTTGTACTGGAGGTGATAATAACGGTGCCAGCGCGCACCATGACCATGTGCCTCGTGCGCGTCTCGGCTGACCCAATCATCAGCGCCATTGAAGTCCGCCCACTCCTTCCCTCCCTCCCTCCCCACCTTCCCAGCTCGTGCTAACCCTTCCCTTCTAATGCCCTCTACTTTGTGTCGACTCAAAAGTTGACTTTTGAGTCGAGGTGACTTTTGAGTCGACTCAAAAGTCATCGAGATCCGCCCACTCCTTCCCTCCCTCCCTCCCCACCTTCCCTACTCGTGCTAACCCTTCCCTTCTAATGCCCTCTACTCCGTTTCTTTCTTCCCTTCCGGCCCCCTTTCCCCCCCCTCCCTCCCCCCCCCCCCCCCCCCTTTCCCCCCTCCCCCCACCCCTCCCACCCCACAGGGGCCAGTACACGCCATCCAACGACCAGATTCTTGTGCTGGAGGTGATAGTAACGGTGCCAGCGCGCACCCTCGCCATCTGCCTCGTGCGCGTCTCGGCCGACCCCATCATCAACGCCCTCGAGATCCGCCCGCTCCCTGCCGATGCTTACAACGGGAGTGACTATAGCGAGCAGCTGCTGCTCAACTACTGGAGGCTGTCCTGTGCTGGCGACTCGTGGCTTGTCGGTTCCTACCGGTAAGGCTTGTGCCGGGAAGGTTCGTATCAGTTAGACCATTCTACACGGGTAGGGCTCGAATCGGTTAGCCTAGGGCTCGAATCGGTAAGCCTTCCCTTTTCTGTCTCACACTCCCAGCTGCCCCCTTACCATCATCCCCTCATCCCTTGATGATCCATTTCTGTCTCACACTCCCAGCTGCGCTGATGATCTTTTGGATCGGTTGTGGTACGCAGACATGCCTCTCTTTTGAGTCGACTCCGTTGACTTTTGAGTTGACTTTTGAGTCGACTCAAAAGTCACTCGCAGCTGCGCTGATAATCCTTTGGATCTGTTGTGGTACGCAGACATGCCTCTCTTTTGAGTCGACTCAGTTGACTTTTGAGTTGACTTTTGAGTCGACTCAACAGTCACTCCCAGCTGCGGTGATAATCCTTTGGATCGGTTTGGGTACGCGCGGACATGCCTCTCTTTTGCCAACCCTGCCCCCGGCACCTACACCTACATCCCTGCAACCCCCTTACCAATCCCTTTCCCCCTTCCCCATCCCCGCCCTTCTGACACTCCCATCCCAGGTATCCTGACGACCCTTTGGATCGTGTGTGGTACGCGGACATGCCTCTATTTGGCGACCCAGCGCCCGGCACCTACACCTACATCCCCGCAGCCGCCTCTGTGGCCGTCACCAGCAGCAGCATCGCCATTCCCCCCAGCATGAGCAGCAATGCCGTGCCTCAGTTTGTGGTGCAGAAGGCGAGGACTACTAAGGGCCCTCAGGGGCTCACCTACCGCTTCTATGGGCTGGCCCCCGGAAAATATCAGGTGGGTCTTGGTAAGATGGTTTATTGAGCGGTTCCGAGTGATTTGGGGTGGGTTTGGTACAATTCACCACCAGCAGCAGCAGCATCGCCATTCCCCCCAGCATGAGCAGCAATGCCGTGCCTCAGTTTGTGGTGCAGAAGGCGAGGACTACTAAGGGCCCTCAGGGGCTCACCTACCGCTTCTATGGGCTGGCCCCCGGAAAATATCAGGTGGGTCTTGGTAAGATGGTTTATTGAGCGGTTCCGAGTGATTTGGGGTGGGTTTGGTACAATTCACCACCAGCAGCAGCAGCATTGCCATCCCCCCCAGCATGAGCAGCAATGCCGTGCCTCAGTTTGTGGTGCAGAAGGCCAGGACGACTAAGGGCCCTCAGGGGCTGACTTACCGCTTCTATGGGCTGGCCCCTGGAAAATACCAGGTGGGTCTTGGTAAGATGGTTCATTGAGCGGTTCCGAGTGATTTGGGGTGGGTTTGGTACAATTCACCACCACCAGCAGCAGCATTGCCATCCCCCCCAGCATGAGCAGCAATGCCGTGCCTCAGTTTGTGGTGCAGAAGGCGAGGACGACTAAGGGCCCTCAGGGGCTGACTTACCGCTTCTATGGGCTGGCCCCTGGAAAGTACCAGGTGTGTGTGTGTGGGTGGGTCGTTTGAGTGGTTATGAGTGGTTTGGATGGCTGTGGTATGGGTCGTCACCAGCACCAGCAGCAGCAGCATCGCTATCCCTGCCAGCATGAGCAGCAATGCCATGCCTCAGTTTGTGGTTCAGAAGGCGAGGACGACTAAGAGCCCTCCCCTCAGGGGCTGACTTATCACTTCTATGGGCTGGCTCCCGGAAAGTACCAGGTGGGTTATGAGTCGACTCAAGGTGTTTTGAGTCGACTCAAAACTGGCTGTTGTGTGGAGTACCACCAACACCACCAGCAGTTCAGGTGTTCATTCTCCTAATTCTTTCCCTTCCTTTCTTTCCCTCCCAACCACCCACCCACTCTCCCTCCCTACCACTTCAGGCCTACCTCTATTTTACCGACATCATTCCTCCTGCTGACGCCACCAGCAACAACGCCCCATCAGCGGACCTCCTCCTGGCCATCCTGATTAATGGCTCGCCTCTCCTCCGCAACGCCCCCGCCCTGCCCTCTACCGCTAACCGCCAGTGGAACAAAAACACCGCCGGGCAGCTCAGCTTCGCTTTTGACGTTGTTGGGGCAGCTGAAGGGGCAGGTGGAAACGCGACGGCGAAAGTGCAAGGGGCCGGGCAAGGGAACGGGCAGCAGCAGGGGCCGCAGGGAACGGTGGCGGAAACGAGTATACAGCTAAAGGCAGAGGAGGGGAGTAGGGTGAAGGAGGTGGGGTTGTCTGGACTCGAGCTGTATACTGTGGTGGAGCCAAAGGCTGCTGTGCCAAAAGGTCAAGGTGCGCTAAGTTTTTTAAGAACATTAGACATTATGGAAGCAACACAACAAGTATAGGATGTGTTCGCGCTGTATAGTGGGCTGTGTTGAGATCCATATTGTTCGCTTGTGTCGTGCTACTGCTGATTGATCCGCTGAGTCATGTGTTGTTGATGTGGTGAGTCAGTCATGGTGTTGATGTGGTGAGTCAGTCATGGTGTTGATGTGCTGAGTTGTGTTGTTGCCAAGTCAAGGTGACATGCGGAACAATTGATGCTTAATTTGTGCTGCGCTTTGAGTCATGCTGTTGTTGACGCGCTGAGTCATGCTGTTGTTGACGTGCTGAGTCATATGTTGACGTGCTGAGTCATGCTGTTGACGTGCTGAGTCATGCTGTTGACGTACTGAGTCATGCTGTTGATTTGCTGAGTCATGCAGCTCACTTGCTGGTTCATGATGCTGACCTGCTGAGAAGCTTTGCTTGCATCACTCAGTAGATCAACAACTTGAACCAACAGGTCAACTGAAAATGGTTTAGCAGATCCACAACATAGACGACTTTTGAGGCGCCTCAAAACTCAAAAGTTTGAGGCGCCTCAAAAATGGTTTAGCAGATCCACAACATAGCTCAGCACGTCAACAGCACGGTCTCAATTCCGATTTCTAGCTACATTTGCATGCTGTAGCGTTATAACCATTCCCCTTCCCACTTTTACCTCTTCTCTTTTCATCTCCTCTCTCAACCTCTCTCCACCCCTTTTCACTCCACCCCTCACAGTACGCGCCCTGTCATGCATCAAAGCACAGATGGGCGGGGCAGCAGCGTTGGATGGCTGGACTGGCGACCCCTGCTACCCCATTGTGTGGCCGGGAGTCACTTGCAAGACCTCCCGCCTCCATTCTTCCGTCATCGGCCTGTGAGTGGTTGAATGTTTGTTGTCTTAGCTGATGGTATAAGCTGGTGCTTGCGTGCATGTTTGTGTTGTTGCTTTGTGCATTTCTGTGTGCTGCCTCTGTGCCATGTGTGCTGCCTTACCTCCTTCGCTCTCCTTCTCTGTTACTCCTTGATTTTCACTATCCCTATCTTGTGTCCTACCTGTCATCTCCTCCATGTGCCACGTGTCACTCCACCCACCAGGAATCTAACCCACCTCAACATCTCCGGTCCTTTCTCAGCCTGCATCTCCGAGCTCACCACACTGCAGACTCTGTAAGCCTCTCCCTGGCAGTCTCCAGCACTCCCCACCCCAGCACTCCCCACCCCAGCGGTCCCCACCCCAGCACTCCCCACCCCAGCACTCCCCACCTCAGCAGTCCCCAGCAAGCAGCTCCCCTTTATCCGCCCATTGATATCTGCCCATCTCTATCCACTCTGCTGTATCATTCCCCCGCTCTCTCTTCCTCCCTCCTTCCTCTGCTCCCTACTTTCCTGGTCTCTCTTTTTACTCTGTCCCTGTGTCGTTCCTCGCACCCCTGCATACCCCAACCTGCATCTCCACGTGGTAGCTGGATGGATCACAACCAGCTACGAGGCTCCATCCCCTCGTCTTGGAAACCTCACCTCCTTCCCTCTTTCGTTCATTCCCGCTCTTCCTTCCTCCCCCTCGCCCTTCTCCCCTGACCATCCATGCCTCTCCTCCCCTTTACACCCCCTCCTCCCCCTCTTTTCCCTCTTCCCCACGTGTCAGCTGGATGGACCACAACCGGCTTCAAGGCTCCATCCCCTCGTCTATTGGGAACCTCACCCAGCTGCGATCCATGTACGTTTTGTAGAGGAAGCCTTGAATGGCCCGTGTACGCACGATCAAGCGAGCATAGCAGCACTGGGCATTGGGCAGGTGTTGAGTCTATCCCCTTGTCGATTGGGAACCTCACCCAGCTACGATCCATGTATGTCCGGTGGTGGAGCGAGCATAGCAAGTTCTATTGCTGTGGATCAAGTCCTGAGTTCACTCAATGCCCTATCCCCTCGTCGATTGGGAACCTCACCCAGCTACGATCCATCTACGTTTCAGGAAGCAGACATAGAGCTATCCGATTTGAGTTTTGAGGTGACCCAACAATCCATCCCCTCATCGATTGGAAACCCCACCCATCCACGATCCATTTATAGAGCATAGCAATCCATGTACGTCCTATAGAGAAATTAATGCACTGTAGGCTATGTATGTCTTTCCCTCCCCTCACCTTTCTCCCCTCGCCGCCCTCTTCCCCCACCCCTTGTGCCCTCTTCCCCCACCCCTTGTGCCCTCTTCCCCCACCTCTTGTGCCCTCTTCCCCCACCCCTTGTGCCCTCTTCCCCCACCCCTTGTGCCCTCTTCCCCCACCCCTTGTGCCCTCTTCCCCCACCCCTTGTGCCCTCTTCCCCCACCCCTTGTGCCCTCTTCCCCCACCTCTTGTGCCCTCTTCCCCCACCCCTTGTGCCCTCTTCCCCCACCCCTTGTGCCCTCTTCCTCCACCCCTTGTGCCCTCTTCCCCCACCCCTTGTGCCCTCTTCCCCCACCCCTTGTGCCCTCTTCCCCCACCCCTTGTGCCCTCTTCCCCCACCCCTTGTGCCCTCTTCCCCCACCCCTTGTGCCCTCTTCCCCCACCCCTTGTGCCCTCTTCCCCCACCCCTTGTGCCCTCTTCCCCCACCCCTTGTGCCCTCTTCCCCCACCCCTTGTGCCCTCTTCCCCCACCCCTTGTGCCCTCTTCCCCCACCCCTTGTGCCCTCTTCCCCCACCCCTTGTGCCCTCTTCCCCCACCCCTTGTGCCCTCTTCCCCCACCCCTTGTGCCCTCTTCCCCCACCCCTTGTGCCCTCTTCCCCCACCCCTTGTGCCCTCTTCCCCCACCCCTTGTGCCCTCTTCCCCCACCCCTTGTGCCAACCAGCAAGCTCAACAACAACAAGCTGTCAGGGCCTGTCCCCGCCTCCCTTGCTGCTCTGCCCAACCTGCAGTTCCTGTGAGTAGTGTCTCGCTCTCTTGCCCTTTGAGTCGACTCAAAAGTCACTGCAGTACCTCTGAGTAGTGTCTTGCTCTCTTGCCCTCTTGCCCCCTTGCCCTCTTGTGCTCCTGCTCCCTTGGCCTCTTGCTCCCTTGCGCTCATGCTCCCTTCCTCTCCTGCTCTCTTTCTCCCTTGTTCTCGTGCTCTCTTGCTCCCACCCACCTACTCTCTCCAATGATAACTCATGATGTCTCTGTTTCTGCACCTCCTTATATGTTTTTGCACATCGCACCCCCACTCTCCCCAGTCAACTGCAGAGACCTGACCTCCAACAATCTCTCACTGTCTCTCAGTTTCTGCTAAGACTGACCTCCTTTTGCACCCGACCCACACCCTCTCTCTCTCCCCATCAACGCAGAGACCTAAGCTCCAACAATCTCTCCGGCCCCTTACCTTTCAACCGCTCCAGCAACGTGCAGATTGGGTTTGTCCCTACCCTACCCTACCCTACCCTACCCTACCCTACCCTACCCTACCCTACCCTACCCTACCCTACCCTACCCTACCCTACCCTACCCTACCCTACCCTACCCTACCCTACCCTACCCTACCCTAACCACCCTCCAAATCTGAGTCGCTTATGAGGATTCTCAAAAGCCTCTCTCCAGTCCCTTCTCATTCAACAGCTCAAGCAACGTTCAGTGCAGATTGAGTTTGTCTTTAACACACTCCAACCAAGTCACTCCCCGGTGCCCAACACACTCCCCGGTGCCCAACACACTCCCCGGCGCCCAACACACTCCCCGGTGCCCAACACACTCCCCGGTGCCCAACACACTCCCCGGTGCCCCAAGCCTGAGTGCCCCGCTCCTCTGCTCCCCAAGCTCGTCCTTCAACCTCGCTCAAACATCCCCCCCCCACCTTCCTCCGCACAACATCCCCAAACCCTCTGTCTTCTCGTCCCCTTCCCTGCTTCCGTTTCTGCCCCTTTGCACCTTCTCCCACAGTATCTCTGGAAATCTCAACCTCTGCTTCCCAGACGCCTCCTTCGGCTTCCCTCAACCCTCCCCCACTCTTCCCACGACAACCCCAAACTCTCGCTCTTCTCTTCCCTTCCCTGCTTCCGTTTCTGCCCCTTTGCAACTTCTCCCACAGTATCTCTGAAGCATTAATCTCTGCTCTCCAGACTCGTTTTTAGGCGCCTCAAAACTCAACTTCTCCCACAGTATCTCTGGAAACCTCTATCTCTGCTCCCCAGACTCCTCCTTCGGCCTCCCTCCTTGCACCAACTCAATCACCACCGCCCCCTCCATTACTCCACACATTCCCCAACCTTCACTTCTCTTCCCTGCTTCCCTTCTCCCCCTTTCCCCCTTGCAGTGTCTCAGGCAACCTCAACCTCTGCTCCCCAGACGCCTCCTTCGGCCTCCCTCTGTTGTTTCCGGAATCGACCCTGCCCCCCTCCCTCCCCTTGTCTTCTCCACCCCCTTGCAGTGTCTCAGGCAACCTCAATCTCTGCTCCCCAGACTCATCCATCAACCTCCCTCAACCCTCCCCCACTCTTCCCACGACATCCCCAAACCCTCGCTCTTCTCTTCCCTTCCCTGTTTCCGTTTCTCCCCTTTTCAACTTCTCGTGCAGTGTCTCAGGCAACCTCAATCTCTGCTCCCCAGACGCCTCCTTTGGCCTCCCTCCCTGCAACAACACCATCCCCACCCCCTCCTCCTCCCCATCTGACACGTCAGCACAAACTGCCACGTCACCTGCAGCCATGAGCACAGCTGTCCTCATGGCGCTCATCCTAGGTGTCATAATCGGCGTGCTAATGGTGCTCCTCGCCAGCTGGCTGCTGCTGAGGTGGCAGCAGCGGGCGGCAGAGAGAGGAGGCATGGGAGGAAGGAGCGGTGCTGGTGGTGGTGGTGGCGGTGGTGGTGTGGGAGGGGATGGGTTGGGGCAGCAGCCGCCTGTGGTAGTGTATGTGCATGGGGACACGGGGGCTGTGACCGTGCAAGCAGCAGGTACGAATAGCACCATCGCTCTCCCTTCTCTCAGTGAATTTAGAGTCCCCTAAAATCGGTTCAGCACGGTCAGCCGTAGGATTGGGTTGGGGCAGCAACCGCCTATGGTGGTGTATGTGCATGGGGATACTGGGGCGGTCACAGTGCGAGCAGCAGGTATGAATACACACACTCACCAACAGAGCTATCTGCTGCTGGTGCATCAGTAGCTGTAGCGAAATTCGCAGCGATACAGGCAAACTTATCGCTCCATAACCCCACCTCCCCGTGTCTCCCTCCCCATCACCCCCTGACAGACTCTGCCGGAGCGACTCTCTACACACAGAGCAACCAAGTCCTCCTCTCGCCCAAGGCAGCTTGACCTCCACCTTTCCTTGTCTCCCTCCCTGTCTCCCCATCACCCCATACAGACTCTGCCGGAGCGACTCTCTACACGCAGAGCAACCAGGTGCTCCTCTCGCCCAAGGCTACTGCAGGCTTGTCCCCCGCAGCAGTAACGGCAGCAGCAGCAGCGAAGACAGCAGCGATAGAGGGAACCGAACCTCCTGCATTCAAAGCCAGTGTCCTCCCAGCGGTACCTGCCAGCCAAGAGGAGACTCCCCTGCTGGCTCCTGCACCAGACAAGCCAGCAGCAGCACCAGCAGCAGCAGCAGCAGCTGAATCAGCGACAGCAGAAGCAGCAGTGCCAGCAGCGCCGACCGAGGGGATGGCAGTGCCAGGTGCTGGGAATGCTGTGGGACCAGCAGCGTTTGCTGCAGGAGCAGCAGCGCTTGCCACAGGAGCAGCAGCTCTTGCTACAGGCAACTCTCCTGCAAGGGGGAAGGCTGCATCAACTCCCGGTGCAAGTCCGGCTGTCGCGCAGGGCTTGGCAGTTAGAGGAGCAGCAAGCGCAGGCCCGTTTGCCGCTGCAGGTGCTGATGCTGCTGCTGGTGCTTCCGCTACAGATGCTACTGATGCTAGTGGTGTTAGTGCTACTCCTGCTGCTGCTACAGCCGCCGTTGCTACAGCCGCTGCTGCTACAACCGCTGCTGCTACACCCGCCGATCATTCCATGGCATACTTAGTCGCCCCCGGCTCCTCCGCCCGCCGCTTCTCCCTCGCAACCCTCTCAACTGCAACCAACCACTTCTCACCCTCCGAAATCATCGGGTCAGGGGGCTTTGGGCCTGTATACCGGGGTGTGTTGCCAGACGGACGGATGGTAGCAGTGAAACGGAGGGACGATGATTCACTGCAGGGAGACAGGGAGTTTGTGAATGAGGTGGATTTGTTGTCCCGAGCCTGCCACCCGAACCTGGTGGAGCTGGTTGGGTACTGTAGAGAGGCTCGGCAGCACCTGCTGGTGTATGAGTTCATGCCGAACGGGACGGTGAGGGAGCATCTGTACGACCAGATGGGGCAGCCGCTGGGGAGGCTGAGGTGGCTCACCCGCATTCAGATCGCCCTGGGTGCTGCTAGAGGTGCGATGCAAACTGGAGCACTTGATTTCTTTGGCTGCTTCTAGGAAATTGCCTGCATCCGAGTGAATCCATGCCGACCATCCATGCTGGATTGCCGGCCGTGCGCACACATGCGCATCCTCGCCCCCCTCCTTATCCCTCTCGCTCGTCAGTTTCTCTCCCCCCTCCTTACACACACATACATGCACTGCCCCCAGCAGCCCACCATCCACCGTGACACACAGTGAAGCAACATACCTCTTCTCCCACTCCTTCCCCTTCCCAACCCCACACACACTGCCCCCAACAGCCATCCAGTACCTACAATCGTGTCTCCAGCCGCCCATCCACTGTGACATCAAGACGAGCAACAACATCTCTTTCTCCTATTCCTCCCCTTCCCTCCCCTTCCTTCTTCTATGTTCTCTCCCCTGCCCCTACAAATACACAACAGCCATCCAGTACCTACACAAATGTCTCCAGCCGCCCATTATCCACCGTGACATCAAGACGAGCAACGACAACACTTATTCCTCTTTCCCCTCACCCCCCCACCCCTACCTTTCTTCCGTCCCCTGTCTCTTCTCTCTGCTCCCCCACCCCCCGGCCCCAACAGCCATCCAGTACCTACACACGTGTCTCCAGCCGCCCATCATCCACCGTGACATCAAGACGAGCAACATCCTGCTGGACGGCCGGCTGAACGCGCGGGTGGCAGATTTTGGACTGTCCCGGGTGGGCCCACAGGACAACAGAAGCCACGTGTCTACTGTTGTGAAGGGCACAGCGGGATACCTGGACCCTGAGTAAGTGGTGCTTATTTAAGTATTATAGCCCTTCCTGTGCTGCTGCACTGCACTGCATCCGCCTCCCCCTCACTCATCACTCTCCCACTCTCCCACCCTCTCTCTCCCCACTCTCTCCCGCAGGTACTTTACCATTCAGCAGCTGACGGATCGCAGCGACGTGTTCAGCTTCGGGGTGGTGCTGCTGGAGCTGATCTCGGGCCAGCAGCCCATCGACCTCAACCGCCCGCAGCAGCACTGGAGCATTATCGACTGGGTGAGTGGCTTTGATTGGGTGAGCAGTGTTGTCTGGGTGAGTAGCGTTTATTGGGTAGGCTCGTTCTTATCCCTACTCGTTCTCTCCTCCCTATCCCAGTCGCGCAACCACTTGCAGCAGGGCAACATCCGGGCAGTAGCAGACCCGACCCTCCTCCCCCACGAGTGGGACGAGGAGGCCATGTGGCGGGTGGCAGAGGTTGGCATGGTGTGTGTCGAGCCAAAGTCCCTCAACTGCCCCCCCTCCCTTCCTTTCCCTCCTTCCATTTCCCTTTCCCGACTCGTTTCCTGTTCCCATCCCTACTCGTTCTCCCCTCCCTATCCCAGGCGCGCGACCACTTGCAGCAGGGCAACATTCGGGCAGTAGCAGACCCCACGCTGCTCCCCCACGAGTGGGACGAGGAGGCCATGTGGCGGGTGGCAGAGGTCGGCATGGTGTGTGTCGAGCCCAAGTCACTCAACCGCCCCCCGATCACTGAAGTGGTGGTTGAGTTAGAGCATGTGTTGGCATTGGAAGTCAGCAACGCTGCTAATGCCGCTGCTGCTGCTGCTGCGGCTGCCAATGCTGCTGCTGCCGCCGCGGCTAACGCTGCTGCTGGCGCCCTGAGCTCTGCAGCAGCACGAGCAGCAGCAGGAGGGGCTGGTTCCGGTGCTGCTGGTGGGGTTACTGCTGCTGCCCCTGGTGCTGCTTTCGTGGCTCCGGCTGCCGGGTTAGGGCTCGGAAACCCGCAGCAACAGCAGCAGCAAGCACAGCTGCAGCAACTGCTGCTGGGGCAGGCTCAGGCCAATTCAGACCTGCTGATGTCTGGCAGTAGAACCAGTGGAACGAGTGGGGGGATTGGGAGTGGGGGTGCCAGTGGAGTTAATGAAGGGAGTATTGGATATGGAGGGGGCAGGGTGAGCACATTCTCGGGACGGTACAGCTCTGGCAGGTTCCGAAGCAGCTCTGCTGTCGGCTCCACTGCTGTTGCTGGTCTGGGTGCTCCTGCTGCTGCTGCTGCTGCCCCAGGTGTTGCTGGTGCTGCTGCTACTGCTGCCGTGTCTCCTGGTGCTGGTAACGAAGCGACTGCTGCTGCTGCTGCCGACGCCACACCTGCAGAGCAAACAACGGGCGGCACTGATGGAAGCAGTCTTAATTGGTGAGGCTGGAAGCAGCTTGTCCAAAGTGGCGTCATGGAAGCAGCTCAGATGACTGACGTTGCAAGCAAACGAGCGCTGTGCCTTGACCAGGAACAACAATATACATTAACCAGTAACACTTTGTCACGTCTGGTAGAGTGAGGAACACCGCTTACAGGATTCATTCTTATTTTAGCGAAAGTTTCAGTATCATCATTGTAATTTTCCATGTCCATAGCTTCTGTAATGTGAGACAAAAATGTTTTCTTTTCTTACCGATTTCCATGTCCATGGCGACTCTGCGATTAGGGGAAAAGTGTACGGGATTGCAACTCTGCGAACCCTCGCGAAGACGCTACGTGGGAACCTGAGGCATATGCCTCGATACTATCCAGGTTCTTTCCATGGTTATGCAAGGACGAACATTTCTGTCATTGCCTTCAGAATTACGCTAAATCGGATATTCTCGAGAACAGTTTGGCATTGTTCAGTCTTTGAAGGCCAATCTGGATGCTGTCGATCCGTTCCTTACGATCCAGCCGTTGTTTCTCCTCGCCTTACCAAATTGTCAGTCACTCACCATAAGACCAAATATCGTGATCACCATTTGCATCGTTTCAGCAGGAGCTAGGAGTATTTTCTCAAAGGGATGAAGCGGGAGATGGATGGAGTCGGGCAAGGGTTTTCCGAGTTGCCTGTTAGAGAGGTGCGTATGAGATCGGCATGGTCGAGAGCTCTTTTTCCAGTCTGCCGTTTACAGCACTAAACTTGCTCATCCATGGATTTACGTTTTCTTGGTGAACTCTGCCTTCAGGGACCAAATAAGCACCCGAAGACAACAGGAAGCCTCTTGAGACCTGGTCAGTGTGAGTTACACCAGTCTCATTGCCGTGGTTGTCAATGTCATTGTCAATTTGGTTTAAGCACACTGTTGGTGCTTTTCTCGGATTCGAATTCGTGCGTTCAAATTGTTTTTTCTAACAAGGACCTAATGTTCTTTCCGTTTTTTTCTTTCTGAATGCTTGCAGAGGTCACGAAGATCCTCTGTGATTTTCTAGAGGTTGCAGTGAACCATTTGCTCTACCTTCGCTCCATATATCCTCCAGGTAATGCACTCCCCTGTGCATCAGTCGTATTGTTCTTCCTGCCTAGCACATTTTAGGGCCACCATAGGAGCACTGGATTCAGCAGTTATGTTGATTAGATATTGTAGTATCCATATTTTGTTTTGTTCGCTTCTGTGTGATCTTTGCAATTCCTATTACAGAAATATTTCATCGCAGCCGCTTCGCGTCGGTTCCTGTGTACTCCAGCAGGCACCCAGGCCTCCGCTGCTACATTCGAGACGCCATAAATGACCTTTCCCCATACATTGACAAGGTATAAGCACGTCTTTTTGTCTTCTCGTTTCCGTCTCATTTCCCCCCCTCTGTCATCCACTTTTTCGCATCCTGTTTCCGTCTCTTTCCTTACTTTCTGTGTGGTTTGCAGGGTGTTGTGGAACGAATTGACCTTGCCGTTTTCTCAACAGATGGAAGAAAAGTCTATGAGAGAATAGTGTTTGACTTCTCCATTTTCCAGCCAGCGCCATCTGGCAGCGTACCAGCTCAGCAGGACAGCTTGGAGTCCATTGAGTATTGCCTGCGCTCGTTTCTCGTCAAAGCATCCGTTTCAGAGTGCTTTCAACGACCCCTCCCTCAAGGTGACTGGGTGCATGGAAAGTAGTCGCATGTGAGCATTTTTTTATTGCTTTCGGTTGTGCAGCAGCCTTGGCCATAAGTAGCATGTCGTTAGAAGCATTCATGCAAATCATTGAGTTTCTCCCACTTCTTATGCGAAGTGCCTTCTCCCTTTGCATTATGCTCCTGCTTTTCTGTGTGTGTTTTCCGGTGTCCTTTTCAGAATGTGCATGGGAGCTGGTAGCTCACTCTAAGAATCTCCCTTCGGACAGAAGCTCAAGTGGGCAGTTCTGGATCCCAGCTGATTCTTCGTCAGAAGGTCGTGTGCCTGATCAAAGAACGTGCATGAATGACCCTGGTGCTCCTGCGGGAGATTCTCGTGCTGAAATTCGCTCAGCTAGTGGTGGTGTTGAGCCTCCTCAGGATTTGAGTGCAGGTCTAAATGGTGCACGCTGTAGTGCGCCATCTAGCAAGGTGCCTAGGTTATTTCCGATTAAGTCCATGAACACTGGAATGCTGTCACTGCAACTCTATATTGAGCGTCCCTGACTGCCATAAAAATAAAAAGTGCGCATATCTGTGTAATAATGTTTAGTATTCTGTAGTGGTCTATTGTAATCTGCGAGTGTTTTACAAATTGATATTTAATTTGCTATGCTTTGTGCCACCGATTTCCAAACCTGACCTAATCTCGCGTACAGACTACTGATACACTAGTTCGACATTCCCCGAGCCACTAGGTCACAGTGGTTCTAAGTTCTTCGCCGTGTACATAGATTCGCGCCTCGTTTGCTGTGCCGTCCACTCTCCTATTTTCGACCCCAGATCACAATCAGGTCGCAAACGTTCACTCTGCCTTTCCTTCTGCAAACCCCTTGTTTTCGAAACGCATCCCAACATTCCTGGTGATCTTTTCGGCTAGACGAGCACCTACTCCCCATGGCCGACGCGAAGGACATCTTGGGATTGCCGAAGAAAGCGCTACCAGGCACGCCTGGCGGAGCGGGGTTGGGAGGAGGCGCTGGAGTGCCGGGGAGTGCGGGGAAGGGGAAGAAGCGGGAGCGGGATGGCGGAGGGCGGGCAATTCCTGAGGGGATCAGCAGAGAGGTAGGGAACGGAAAGGGGGAGGACGAGAGGGGGTCGCACGGAGGACGAACAGGGAAGAGGAAGGTCAAGGGAACGAAAGAGGGCGGTGGGGATTGTTGGATCGAAGAAGAATTTCCTGTAGTCAACGTGCTGTAACAATGGACATTCATTTGGGTTTCGAGGCAATCTGACTGACCATTGCTTGCTCCTCTATCTTCTGAAGTGCGATTGGGGTGTGAAAGCTTCCTTTCTTCTATCCACCCCATGGCTGCTCCTCCCACACCAGGTCTATGCGCTCACGGGTGGTTTACCCCCAATAATGCCAACTTTCGACCCTATGCTCCTGCTCAAGAAAAGAACCACCCCCTCTCAAAAGGTTTGGCAGCCACTGATTGGTCTAATGTACCTCCCAAAGAATGTGCTAGTGTATTTCTCCTACATACTGAATCGTACTGAGATCTCTATTTCTCCTCCATAGGTTCTTCATTCTTTCTCACCCCCTCTAAAATTTTACCGCTCCCCGTTTTCTCCCTGCCCAACCCTCTTACCTGTTTCTGTCAGGTGACGTGGCAGTGGAAGCCCATTGTTTCATCTGCCCGGCCAGACGACCTGAAAATCTACCACTGGGTATGCTGAAATGCTTTCTTGCAAAACTAGAGGTCAGAAATCAACGGAAAGTAAAGAGAAGAAATACAGAAGACTGGCTAGGCTAGTGCGGGCATGTGTGGAGCATAAGGTCCGGAGGGACGGGCAGTGTAGCTGACACATGTGTGCTTAGTGTGCGTGTGCATGCATGTGCGTGACTCTGTGTGTGCGCGTGCATGCATGTGCGTGTTTCTGTGTGTGCGTGTGCATGCATGTGCATGTTTCTGTGTGTGCGTGTGCATGCATGTGCGTGTTTTTGTGTGTGCGTGTGCATACGTGTGCATGCATGTGCGTGTCTTTGTGCGTGTATGCGTTTGCCTCTGTGTATCTGCTTTGACGTGTTTTCTTGCGTCTGCTCTCTTCGGTATATCGGTGGCACCATCAGGTTGAAGTAGTGGACTGGACGGCAAGGTTCAAAGTGCACGTATGAATTTTCATTCTCATGATTCCTTTGCTTGCTTCGGTGCCTTCTTGTTACATTGGTGGGGCGGGAATCAATCAACAGGTTAAAGTGGTGGACGGCAAGGTTCCGGAGGAGGACTATTCGTTTGCCAAGTACAACAAGGTTAGTCACTCACAACAACAACGACTAAATAAAGAAAAAGAAAGAAATAAAGAAAGAAAGGCAGCACCAGCCTGGCATGCGTTGATTGGCAACTTGCATGGTGCTCTCTTTTTCTTAACACATGTACCTTCAACTCAACCCCAACCACCTCCCACTCCCTCGCTACCCCGCTCAGTTCACTCACTCCCTCCCTTTCCCACTGCATTTACTACTCTCATTCCGTTCCTCTATATCCCTCCTCCCAGTCAACTTTTGAGAAATTTCAAAATTGATTTCCTCTATATTACTCCTCCCAGCCAACCAACTCTTCCTATCTTTTGGTTTCTCCAGTGTCGACCCACTCCCCCTTATACCTCCAGCCACCTCAATTCACTCCCTCCTTCCCATCCCACTTCTGTTACTACTCTCATTCCTTTCCTCTATATCCCTTCCCCCAGCCAACCAACTCTTCCTATCTTTTGGTTTCTCCAATGTCGACCCACTCCCCCTTATACCTCCAGCCACCTCAATTCACTCTCTCCTTCCCATCCCACTTCTGTTGCTACTCTCATTCCTTTCCTCTATATCCCTTCCCCCAGCCAACCAACTCTTCCTATCTTCTGGTTTCTCCAATGTCGACCCACTCCCCCTTATACCTCCAGCCACCTCAAGTGCTAAGGTATACGGACGAGGAATACAAGAGCCTGCTTTACCACCATGTAAGTCCTTCAGCGTTTCTACATTGAGACGTCTCTCAAACACAAGGGTTTTCTGCTCGATCACCCCGTGAGTCTTGTAGCTACTTAGCCGAGTTTTGACTATCAGGGTTCTGATCTTAACTTAACAGTCATGACCCTATCTCTCCTCTCTCTCCTAATCCTGGAAAAAAACAGACGCACTTATGAATATGTGCGCAGCGTAACTCTCAAAAATAACGGGCAGCACTTTTTGCTGCACCTTGGGAATCCACTCGTCGCATGTCTCTCGTCTTTCTCTTTCAATTCTCTTTCACTTTCAATTCTCTTTCTCCTCCAATTCTCCTCCCCTATTTCTTATGTGATATGCCACCAGCGCTGGTCCCGGGAAGAAACAGACGCACTTATTGCTATCTGCGCCCGATTCGGGCTGCGTTTCATCGTCGTCGCTGACCGTTACAACACCGACGTGGAGCGTTACAATGAGAGCATTGACCGTTACAACTCGCAGTGCGACCAAATCAGTGCCCCTAGTCTTGCTAGTGCACCAACAACTTCTCAAGGCGCTACTGGTGCTGCTGCTGCTGGTGGTGCTGCTGGTGCTGGTGATGCTGGGAAGGGTGGTGATGCTGCTGCTGGTGGTGCTGCTGCTGGTAGTGCTTGCAAGGAAGAGCCGTTTTCAGGGGCTGGGGCAATCAAAGACGAGCCTAGGGAAACCACTGCTGGTGCAGGAGATGCTAGAGCAAGGGCGGCAGGTGGGGCGGCAGGTGGGACGGCAGGAGGGGCGGCAGGAGGGGCGGCAGGAGGGGCTGCAAGAGGGGCGGCAGGGGTTGGAGCTTCTGTAACAAAGGCCGGGGAACCAAGGTCAAGTGCGGTGAAGAGGAAAGAAAGGACGGTGGAGGAGATTAAAGAGCGGTACTATGATGGTGAGTGTATGGGAACCGTTTTATTAGCCGCCTCATATGATGTCATTCTGCATGCGAGCAGGTTAGGAGCCGATTATGGAGTGTTTCCTGTCAGAAAATATCTGGGGGGGGGGGGTGATTTTCTAGTTGACTCAAAATTGCCCTTCTGCATGCAAGCGAGTTAGGTGTGTCGATTATAGGGTGTTTTCTGAATAGAGTGTTTTAGGTGTGTCGATTATAGAGTGTTTTCTGAATAGAGTGTTTTAGGTGTGTCGATTATAGAGTGTTTTCTGAATAGAGTGTTTTAGGTGTGTCGATTATAGAGTGGGGGGTTGGCGCTGCTCCGCATACATTCGGTTTTGATGCAACTAGTGGCAGCAGCAGCAGCAGGTACAACCGTACCACTGAACTGAAGCAGGAACAAAACCTGTAGGTATAAGTTGTCGAGAGACGAGACACAACCGAGCTTGTGTGGTTTCTCTGTATTCTCTCCTCACTCACCGTGAGCTGTGCAGTCACCAAGAAGCTCCTTGCTTCACGAGCAGCAGCAGGAGAGAAGGTGCCCATGGGTCTACTGCCAAAGGTGGGTGGGTGGGTGGGCGTGGGTGGGCGTGGGTGGGTGTGGGTGGGTGTGGATGGGTGTGGGTGGGTGTGAGACGAATTTTGAAGCGTTCATGTTAAAGGGGGAGAGCAGCAGCAGGAGAGGAGGTGCCCATGGGTCTACTGCCAAAGGTGGGTGGGTGGGCGTGGGTGGGTGTGGGTGGGTGTGGATGGGTGTGGGTGGGTGTGAGACGAATTTTGAAGCGTTCATGTTAAAGGGGGAGCAGCAGCAGGAGAGGAGGTGCCCATGGGTCTACTGCCAAAGGTGGGTGGGCCTTCATTGCATGCGTCTCTCACACTCTCGCTCGCACGATCCGCCACACACATTCTAACTCACACTCTCCCTCACACTCACCCTCGCACGCCCCACTCAATCTCCTTCACGCTCTCTATCCCGCCCACTCTCTCCTCCACTCTTTGTGCCACTCTCGGTCCCACCCTCTGGTCCCGTTCCTTCCTTTCTTCAAACCACCCACCCAAAGCGCCACAAACAGCGGATACGAACATGCGTGCTGACGTGCAACTTCCCGCTCTTTTGAGACGCCTCAAAGGTTGCCCCTCACTCTCACTCTTACCCTCGCACACTTCCCGCTCTCCTCTCCCCTTCCTCCTCGTATGCCCGTCTCCCAGTGGTTACAACATGCATGCTGAGGTGTAGCGCAAGACCCTGCTGCTGGTCCCGGCTCTCACTAACTCTTACCCTCACACCCTTCCTCACACCCTTCCCGCTCTCCTCTCCCCTTTCTCCTCTCACTCCCCTCTCCCCAGGATGGTTACAACATGCGTGCTGAGGTGGAGCGCAAGACCCTGCTGGCTGCACAGCTGGCGCTGACTAGGCGCCAGCTGGCAGAGGAGGAGAAGGTGAGGCGAGAAGGGGGATGTGGGAGGAGGAGGGGGAGGGGTAGGGGGTTGGGGAGGGGGAGGGGGTGGGGGAGGGTCTGGGGGGTAAGGGTGGGGGGATGACTTTTGGATTAAGTTTTATCGTTTTTTGAGTCTGGCGCCGCGCCTATATCCATCCTCTGCCGCTATTAGGCGCCAGCTGGGAGAGGAGGAGAAGGTGAGGTGGACGAGAGGGTGGGGGTTGAGGGGAGGGAGTGATTGGGGAGGGGGGTGGGTGGATTTGAGACATGACTAAGCTATGTTAACACGAAGCCGCTCCCCTGACTGCTCTTTGCTTACTGCCCCTTTTTCTCTGGTATAAATAGCTGGTGCTGGCAGGGGCAGAGACGATTCTCAAGGCACGAGGATGGAGTGAGGAGCAGCTGAAAGAGCACGAGGAGAGACTTCTGCCGAGGGAGTGGAAGAGCACGAGGGTTTTGAGACGTGTCATAACCATGTTGCGTTGCGTGTTTTGAGACATCTCAAAACAAGAGCACGAGGAGAGACTTCTGTCGAGGGAGTGGAAGAGCACGAGGGTTTTGAGACGTGTCATAACCATGTTGCGTTGCGTGTTGCCTTTTTCTCTGTTTCAAATAGCAGGTGCTGGCAGAAGCGGCGAGGGTTCCCAAGGCCCCCCAGGGTGGAGTGAGTGACGAGCAGCTGAACGAGCAGGAGGAGAGAATTCTGTGTAGGGTTAGAGGGTTTGAGATGTCTCTGTGCTTGCTGCTCCCTTTCCCTGATTTGATTTGATCACACAGGTGCTGGCAGAGGCGGAGAGAATCCTTAAAGCCCGGGGGTGGAGTGACGAGCAACTGAAAGAGCACAAGGAGAGAATGCAGTCGAGGGAGAGGGAGAGGGAGAGGGAGGAGAAAGAGAGGGAGGAGAGGGAGAGAGGGGAGCGGGAGAGAGAGGAGAGGGAGAGGGAGAGGGAGAGGGAGGAGAGGGAGGAACGGGCGAGGGAGAGGGAGAGGGAGGCGGGAGAGAGGGAGGTGGAGGCACGGAGGCGGCAGGCAAAGCAGCAAACTGTGAAGCTGGTGAGTAGGAGGGCAAAGCTGGTGAGTAGGAGGGCAAAGCTGGTAGCAGCACCACTGATTGTTTGTAACACATTTTTTTTTTTTTTTTTTTGTGTGTGGATTGTCATGATGGTACTGCTGCAAATAGAAGGGTGGATCTTGGGGAGATTCCTAATCATAACACCAGCTGCTTCGTATTAGTTCTGAGTCTATTTCGGAATCCTCTCCTCCCAAGAAGCACCCGCCGCAGCAGCAACCCCTCCTTTCCTAGATTGCTCATCGTTCAGAACTGCATGCTATATGAAGGCTCACCCCACCAGGTTCTCTGCTCCCCCCTTTGCTCTCCCCCCCTTTTTCCCCACAGGCCTCCATTCCCCCATCCCCCACCCTCTCCTCTCTAGCACCACCAGCAGTAGCAGTCACTCCTCTGCAAGACTCCCACGTGGCACCTCCAACTGTGCCCGCATCAGCGTCCACGTCAGCAGCTGCCCATGCTGACGTGGCGCCAGCTCATGCACCTGAGCGAACACGTCAGCATGCGGTGTCAGCAGGAGGGGGAGGGTCCCGGGGCGCCCTTGCTGCTCCGGTGTCAGCCCAGGCTGGCAATGCGAGAGTGGTGAGTTGGAATGGGTGTTGGCCCAGTCCTCTCTCTTCACACCGTCCGCCTAAAATCTGAAATGCTTTTAAAGAATCACGAGTTTGAGATTGTTGGTGAGGTGCTTGCGTGTGCTTGTGCCTGGCCCACACCCTTTTGAATGAGAAATGTGGTCATTCTCACTCAAAAATAAGATTTGTCTGTCAGGTGCCCGCACCAGGCCTACACCCTGAGAATGAGAATGGAGGTCAGTCATTCTCACTCTGAAGATAGATTTCTGTCAGGTGCCCGCATCACCAGGCACTCAAAAATAAGATTATCTGTCAGGTGCCCGCACCAGGCCTATGCCCTCCTCTTGCCACTGCCGTGTTCTATCTCCCCCTTTCCTCCACATTCCCCCCACCCCGCTGCCCTGCCTCTTTCGCCTCCCAACCCTCATCAACAGCCGCGTGTGTTCGTGAGAGGTCCCCGTCTGGCGTCCACCCTGCTCGCCTCCACCACCACAGCTGGCGCCCGAATGGCCAAGCGCATCGAAAACACGCTTCAAGAGCTGGGGGTGAGTGAGGTGGTGTATAGGAGACAGAACAATGGGAGGGGGGAAGAGGATTATGATGAGGGCAGGGAACTGGCGTCCACCCTGCTCGCCTCCACCACCACTGCTGGCTCTAGAATGGCCAAGCGCATCGAAAACACGCTTCAAGTGCTGGGGGTGAGTGAGGTGTATAGGAATAAGAATAGGGGGGGGGGGGAGAAGGGGTATGTTACGAAGCGAGCAGAGGTCTGGCCTCCACCCTGCTCGCCTCCACTGCTGGCGCCCGAATGGCCAAGCGCATCAAGAACACGCTTCAAGAGCTGGGGGTGAGCATTTTCAGTGGGGGAAGTGACACGTGTGGGGGTTGGGTTGGGTTCGGTTGGGTTTGGCTGGGTTGGGTTGGGTTGGGTTGGGTTGGGTGGGATGGTGATAAGAGCAGAGAACTGGCCTCCACCTCCTCGCCTCCACCACCACTGCTGGCGCTAGACTGGCCAAGCATATCGAAAATACTCTTCAAGAGCTGCGGGTGACTGGGGTGTAGCAGCTGGAGCAAGAGGGGGGAGTGGGGCGTGATATGGAGGGGTGTGTGGGGGTTGGGTGGGATGGGGTGGGTGGGAATGGGGACTAGAGTCCCTACCCTGCCCTCAGGTTCCCCTGCCCTTGCCCTGGTCTCACGCTGCCCGTCCTAGTCATTCCCCCGTCATTCTCTCCAAGTTCAGGTGCTCTATGTATGCTATGTGACTTTTGAGTCGACTCAAAAGTCACCAAGTTCAGGTGCTCTATGTATGCTGTGTTCAAACAGCCCTACTGTCCCCAAGCCTCCTACTCGTTCCGCCCCTCCTTCGCCCCTCCCTCGCCCCTCCCTCGCCCCTCCCTCGCCCCTCCCTCGCCCCTCCCTCGCCCCTCCCTCACCCCTCCTTCGCGCCTCAGTCTGCCCCGCCTACTCATCACCCCTCCATACACAGGTGCCCCTAGCACCCCGCGTGCCCACGCGGGAGGTGTGTGCGGAGTACGTGGCGCTGAGGAAAGAGGTGGTTGCGCTGCTGAACCTGCAGAAAAAGGTGGGAGAAAGAGTGAGGGTGGTGGGGGGGGAAGCGGGGGGGTGACGGCGGCTTTATGCATTGCGCTGAGCTGAGGAAAGAGGTGGTTGCCCTGCTAAACCTGCAGAAGAAGGTGATAAGTATTATATGATTCATTATTATGGGTTGGTTCAAAGTGGAGTGTTGTTATTACATCAGACTCGCACGCACACTCGTATTTGTGCTCTCAGAGACACATGCACGCACATGCACACACACACACACACACACACACACACACACACACACACACACACACACACACACACACACACACACGTGCACGCACGCACGCACACGCACGCACGCACACGCACACACACACACACACACACACACACACAGTCATGAATCGTTTGCACTCACACTATCACTCACACACTTACCCAGACACTCGCACTCTCACACACACACACACACACACAGAGTCATGAATCGTTTGCACTCACACTATCTCTCACACACTTACCCGGACACTCGCACTCACACACTTACCCAGACACTCACACTCGCACACTCACACTTGCCCCCACACACTCATTGCAGGTTCATTGGAAGGAAAACGAGCTTACTCTTTTAAAGGAGAGCCTTCAAAAGGAGACAGGGGGAGGGGGGGGCGTAGGGGGGGGAAAGGGTGTTGCAGGAGGGGGGAAGGGAGTGGCTGGGGTAGGGAAGGGGGTGTCTGGGGGGGCTAAGGGCGCAGGAGGGTCAACAGGGGGAAGCAAAGGGAGTGGGAAAGGGGGAGGGGGAGGAGGAACAGTGAAGGGGGGGGGAGGAGGAGGAGGAGGAGGAGGAGGAGGAGGAGGAGGAGGGGGAGGAGGAGGAGGAGGAGGAGGGGTGGGGGGAGGGGGAACAGAGAAAGGGGGAGGAGGAGGAGTGCAAACAGCTGCTCCAGCAGCATCAGTGTCGGTCGCAGGAGCAGCAACACACCAAAAGCACCACGACTCGTCCACCCTTGCACCCCTTTCCAGAGTGAGCTCATGCCTCATGCCTCATGCCTCATGCCTCATGCCTCATGCCTCATGCCTCATGCCTCATGCCTCATGGGTCATGCCTCATGCCTCATGCCTCATGCCTCATGGGTCATGGCTCATGCCTCATGCCTTTTAAGCAAAGGGGTCTGACCTGATCCATGTAATAATTGCGGGTAAAGAGAGGTCTTTTGAGGGGGTCTGGCTCATGTCTTCCTCAAAAGTCCTTTCCTGAGTGAGCTCATGCCTCATGCCTCATGCCTCATGCCTCATGCCTCATGCCTCATGCCTCATGCCTCATGCCTCATGCCTCATGCCTCATGCCTCATGCCTCATGCCTCATGCCTCATGCCTCATGTCTCATGGCTCCTGGCTCATGCCTTCTAAGCAAATGGGTCTGACTCGATCCATGTACGGTAACAAGTTTGTTACATCACCCAACCTTTGTGCTTGCTATGCCTCCCCTCCTTCCTCCGCAGCCTCGGCTGCCTGGCATCGTCAGCAGTGTTTTGAGACGTCCCAAAACACTTCTTCAATCACGCAGCCTCGGCTGCTGGGCATCGGCAGCGCGCAATCTCCTCTACACTTGCCTCTCAACTCTCATGCGAACTCTCTCCTATCCCACCATATCTTTTGCGACGTCTCAAAGCACTTCTTTCTCAATAGACGTCTCAAAACACTTCTTTCTCAAAAGACGTCTCAAAACACTTCTTTCTCCTCTCCACTTGCCTGTCAACTCTCATGCGAACTCTCTCCTATCCCACCATATCTCTTGCATCTAGAACATGCATCCTTACCCCTTCGTGCTCTCTCCCAAGCTGTATTCGAGTGACTTTTGAGAATTCTCAAAAGTCACTCGAACATATATTTTGCATCTAGAACATTCATCATTACCATATCCTAGCCATGCCATGCCGTGCCAACCAGTTGTTATGATGAGAACTGCATCTATTCAACGTGCATCTAGAACATGCATCATTACCGCTTCGTGCTCTCTCCCACGCTGACAACACCATTCTGCCAGTTTGCATAAATGCCGAACCTATCCCTCTACCCCATATTTGAACCTTCCCCCTCCCTTGCGTTTGTACCTCCCTGTCTTCCCTGGCCAGGCCTACCGAGGCTCAGGTTCGGAATCAGCTTCGGCGCTGCCTGTGTCATCGTCTGCTGTTGCATCAGGCTCGGGTTCCGGTATGCCCATGCCATGCCATGCCATGCCATGCCATGCCATGCCATGCCATGCCATGCCATGCCATGCCATGCCATGCCGCCATGCCAAGCTGCCATTCCAACCAGTTGGTATGATGAGAACTGCATCTACTCAACGTGCCATGTCGAAAACACTTTCGAGAATTCTCAAAAGTGATCATTCACAAGGAAAGAGAAAGCGTTAAGGTGTTTTTGAGTTACTCAAAGAACAGCCTTCCAACTTGCAACTTGCAATACTGCTTTTGAGTCAACTCAAAAGCAATAGTTAAAATTCACAAGGAAAGAGACAGCATTAAGGAAAGTGTTTTTGAGTTATTAAAAAAACAGCCTTCCAACTTGCAATATCTATCACAAGGAAAGGGGTCATTTTAAGGTGCCCAAACATATTCAACAAGAAGTGCAGCTTCAGAGATGCATATTTGGCATGACCCATGCCTACAAGACGAAAAGCCTCTCCCTCTTGCTCCTACCTCAGAATCAATGACTTTTGAGTCGACTCAGAAGACAACTCGATGTATATTTGGCATGACCCGTGCCTACGAGCACACAAGACAACTCGTGCCTACGAGCACACAAGACAACGCGTGCCTACGAGCACACAAGACAACGCGTGCCTACGAGCACACAAGACAACTCGTGCCTACGAGCACACAAGACAACTCGTGCCTACGAGCACACAAGACAACTCGTGCCTACGAGCACACAAGACAACTCGTGCCTACGAGCACACAAGACAACTCGTGCCTACGAGCACACAAGACAACTCGTGCCTACGAGCACACAAGACAACTCGTGCCTACGAGCACACAAGACAACTCGTGCCTACGAGCACACAAGAAGCCCTCGCTCTCTTGCTCCCACCTCAGAATCTATGAGTATGATGTGTTTATATCCACATACATTGTATTAGGAAACTAGTTGCAGCCTCCACTGCTGCTTCAGGTGCACTTACTGAGTCAACTCATGGCTGTTGCACACAGACCCTCTGTCAACACACTTCCTGCTGCTCTCTCCACTCCTCATCACCCATTCTCCATACCCCTTTTTCATCCCTCATCACCCGTCTTTTTCTGCCTCTCTTCACAGGTGCTGCTACCACACCACGGCCTGAAGTCGGGAGAAAGGTGAGACCAGGTTATGAATTTTGAGAATTCTCAGAAGTCTTTTCTGCCTCTCTTCACAGGTGCCGCTACCACACCACTTTTGAGAATTCTCAAAAGTGATTTCAATATTGCCGCTACCACACCACGGCTTGAAGTTGGGAGAAAGGTGAGACCAGGTTATGCTGACAAAGCACAGCATAGCCTGAATTCGGGAGAGAGGTGAGATTGGTGTTCTCTCATCATGTCTCTCTCTATCTTGCTCTCTGTGCTTTGCGGCTTTCACTCGCATCAAACTACTCAAAGTGGCTATGTCACTGTGCTTCTCTTGAGGCGCCTCAAAAGAAGTCTTGTGAGGAGCCTAAAAAAATTCTGCTCCTCAGTCGGAACTTTTATGAGAAGTGATTATGTTGTGTCTTGTCTCCCGTCCCTCTCTTGTTCTCTTCACCTTTCACAATTTCACGCGCATGAAAATTCCCCCTCCCTCAACCCTTTTCCCCTCCCCTCCCCCTCCCCTCTGGTTTCCCCCCATTCAATCAGCGCCAGGCAGGGTGGAGGGTTGCTGGACCCAGAAACACCGTGCCTGCTGCTTTTGAGGCGCCTCAAAAGCCAGGCAGGGTGGAGGGTTGCTGGACCCAGAAATACCGTGCCTGCTGCTTCTGGTCCGGGCTCTGCCGTTGCTGGAAGTGGGGATGGGGGCGGTGGGAGTTCACAGTAGAGGATCCGACGGCTCACAATTGTTCCTCTCCCCCTCTGCCTGCCTCACCCGTCCATTCAATCAGCGCCAGGCAGGGTGGAGGGCGGCTGAACCCAGCACCACTGCGCCTGCTCCTTCTGGTCCGGGCTCTGCTGGTGGGGGGGTTGGGGGTGGTAGTGGGGGTGGTGGGGGAGGGGGTGGTGGTGGGGGCGGGGGGGCACAGAAGCGAATCCGACGGCTTAAAATCACAGAAGACTGAGATGGACTCTTCTGGTGCGAAGGGTGGGGGAGGTATCGTAGGTAGGTGCAGTGGGGGTATGGGGCTGGGGTGGGGCTGGGGTGGGGCTGGGGTTTGGCTAGGGTGGGGCTGGGGCGGGGCTGGGGCGGGGCTGGGGCGGGGCTGGGGCTAGGGTCCTAGGGATCGGGGTGGGGTGGGGATTCACAGAAGTGAAATCGACGGCTCAAGATCACAGAAGACCGAGATGAGAAGGGGGTAGTGAGTGAGAATTTGTGTTTTGTAAAATCTCGAAAGGGCGCTTGTTGCGTGATGAATTTTGCCCGCACCTGTCCACTCATTTGTGCAATGTACCCCACTACGGTACGTTTTGTAATGTAGCACTGATATGCATTAGTTTGCTGTATATGAGCAAAAACCTTGTGCTGCAGTGTAGATTAGCACCACTAAAACTTTCATTGCAACAAAAGGTGCCAGCAGAGCAGTATAGGGTTCAATTTCTGTGTTTGGTCTGTCACAACAAGACAGAAACATAACTTCTAAGCAGCATGTTTGCATCATTGAACCAGGCAAAATTGTGGAGGTAATATAACAGATGGTACAGGGGTTTTTTTATCAGAGTAAATAACTCTGTTTCTCTGAAAATCAGAGTGGTTTTTGGGGGGTCACTCTGACGTTGCTGAGTAATTTTTTTGGAAGATAAGTTTTCTCTGATTTGCCAGGGTTTTGATTTTCGCTACTCTGATAGACCAGTGTAAATTTATGGCGAATGCATTTTTCTCTGTACAGGGTATAGGCATTTTTATCTAGCCCCCGCCTTGTGCAGGTAAAAAATGGCTAGAGAGATAAACTTTATTTAGTAAACTGCGCGGTCAAGTTGTTTTTAGGGGTGCGGAAGGCGTGTGTTCACTGGTACTTGACAGGACACACATAATTGGAGAAATAGGTACACTGACTGCCCGGGTTTTTTTTTTAGGAAGTTAAGTTTTTCTCTGACAAATCAGAGTAGCGCTCATGATCAACCCTGAATTTCAGAGTTCCTAAAAAAACAGCTCTGGAAATCCGAGTAGTAAAAATCCAAAAATAAGCCCTACAGTACCAGACCAGCACCAGATCAGGAAACCACCATGAGGTGCAGTACCGGAACAGAAATGCTGGTACCGCCAGCTCCAGTTTCATGCTATGTAACCTGGCAATTCTGCCCTGCACCATGAGTCGAGACTCAGTCAACCCACAAGTTACGGGCTGGTTTTGAGGATTCTAAAAAACCAGCTGCAATCTAACCAGCAGCACGAGTCAATACTCAAAAGTCACGTTTTGAGTCAACCCAAAGGTTCAGCCCTGTTCAGCTCTGCAATCCAGCCCTGCAATCCAGCCCTGCAATCCAGTGTGCATTGCCGGGAATGCTGCTGACACCAGAGCGCTCCAAATCTGATGAAGCTGCCTGCCATCCAGAATGCCAGAGTCTGGAATATCTGAAAGAGATTATGATTCACCAGGCTAGAATCAACAGGTTGTATTGTCAACAGAGATGGCCGGCCTGCTCTCAGCCCATTCTTTGATCAGCCCACCATCATGGGTCAGAGGACTCAGATGGTCGGGCACTCAAAAGGTCTCAGATGGTCGGGCACTCAAAAGGTCTCAGATGGTCGGGCACTCAAAAGGTCTCAGATGGTCGGGCACTCAAAAGGTCTCAGATGGTCGGGCACTCAAAAGGTCTCAGATGGTCGGGCACTCAAAAGGTCTCAGATGGTCGGGCACTCAAAAGGTCTCAGATGGTCGGGCACTCAAAAGGTCTCAGATGGTCGGGCACTCAAAAGGTCTCAGATGGTCGGGCACTCAAAAGGTCTCAGATGGTCGGGCACTCAAAAGGTCTCAGATGGTCGGGCACTCAAAGGTCTCAGATGGTCGGGCTCTCTTCCTAGAGTCCTTTCATAGTAGTCCCCTCCACCTGGAAAGGAATGGTTTTCCCGGAGAAAGCACACATCAAAAGAAGCTCCGCCCGACTTCTCCTGTCTTTTCGTCGTTTGTTCACGGTTGAGTGAGAGCTCCTGCTGCTGCTTCTACCCCTGCTGCCCCGGCTGCTGCTGCTCCTGCTTCAACCCCTGCTGCTTCTGCTGCCTCTGCTGTTTCTGCTGCTCCTGCTCCCCCTGCTGCCCCTGCTGCCCCGGCTGCCCCTGCTGCCTCTGATGCCCCTGCTGTTGCTGCTGCTTCATTTCACTCAGACGAAGCCGGCCAGAGCGACTGTCAGCTGTTAAAGAGTATGGCGCGCACTGGCCAAACCTCTCCGGAAAAAAAGGAGCCAAAATAGAAGAAGAAGAAAAAAAAAAACGCGAAAAAAGGGGGGGGGGGGGAAGGTGCTGCGCGAGGGAAAACCGCCAAGATTGAGTGGTTCAGTAAGCACCACCCTTTTTAAGTCGACTCAAAAAGCGATCAGCTTGCCATAGCCGGATCAACGTACGATTCTTCAGATGCCTAATGAACGGAGCGCTGTGAACGAGCTTGGGCAGGTCGAGACGGCAAAAAAAAAAAAAAAAAACCAAGTATGACCAAGATAGCCTCAAAAGCAGCAGGGGTGGCTAAGCAGCACTGTGAACCAGCTTGGGCAGGTCGAGACGGCGGAAGCGGATGGCAAAGTGCACGTCCTGCCAGAGGAAGGTGATGCGGGCGGCAGAGTCCACTAGCAGACAACCGTTCACCCACTGCGGGCGGCGGAAGTTGTAGTCTGCCACCCGGCCTTGGCCCTGGCACCTGTTGGTTCGTGGATGGCGGATGAGAAGAGGATCAAGAGGAGTGGAGTGTGGTGTGAGTAGGTGAGGTGAGAATCAAGAATAGGTAAGCATGAAGGAACTATACATATCTAAGAAAGGTACTTAGGCACAAAGTGGTAGCATTCGGCATTAACTTACCAAACATGTTAAAACACATTACGGGGACAGTACGACAAAGCAGTCAAGAAGAACTCACATCCAGACGAATTGCACCTCCGTGCCGTCGTCTGCCCCCGCATCATGATCCATGTGCATCACAGCACGGGCCAGAGTCGTCGCTCTCTGCCACCTCTCTCCCCTCTCCCTCTGCACCTCCTCTGCTCGCTCCCTCTCCCTCTCTGCTGCCCTATCCACGTCACCACCATCACAGTCACCATCATCACAGGCATCATTATCCCCCATTGCATTATCACTCCCATTTGTATCACTGCTTCCTCCCCCTCTGCTGCTGCCCGCGCCCATGTTGCTGCCACTGCCAGCAGAGTCATCACCAGCATTGGTGGGACGGGGGATGACGATGCTGCGAGTGGGAGTGAGCGGCACAGGCATTCCCCCGGGCCCACGGGGCAGGAGGCCGTCTGTGGGTGGGAGGTCTGATGGGTCAGGCGGGCCTTGGGCTGTGGTGAGGCGGGCTTTGAAGGTCACTTGGCCGCAGGGCACGTTCGGATCGCCTGCAGGGAAGGAAGGGGGAACAAGCGGGTCCGAAATGGTCAGCAGGGGTACAGGCATTCCCCCGGGCCCACGGGGCAGGAGGAAGTCGGCAGGAGGAAGGTCTGATGGGTCGGGCGGGCCTTGGGCTGTGGTGAGGCGGGCTTTAAAGGTCACTTGGCCGCAGGGCACGTTGGGGTCGCCTGGGAGGGAGATGGGAAAGAAATGGAAGGGAAACAAAGGGGAAGCAAGGGGCTTATCACCACCGTTGGTGGGACGAGGGGGATGACGATGCTACAGGTGGGAGTGAGCGACACAGGCATTCCCCCGGGCCCACGGGGCAGGAGGAAGATCTGATGGGTCAAATGGGCCTTGGGCTGTGGTGAGGCGGGCTTTAAAGGTCACTTGCCCGCAAGGCACGTTGGGATCGCCTGGAAGGTAAAGAAGGGCAACAAAGGGGACAATAGACTTATCCAGCGGGTCAGCACGCGCTCCCCCAGGCCCACGGGGCAGGAGGCTGTCGGCGGGAGGAAGATCTGATGGGTCGGGTGGGCCTTGGGCTGTGGCGAGGCGGGCCTCGAAGGTCACTTGGCCGCACGGCACATTGGGATCGACTGTGTGGGAGAGGGGGTAGGGGGAGGAATGAGTGAGGAGGGATGGCAAAAGGGCCTTGGGCTGTGGTGAGGCGGGCTTTGAAGGTCACTTGGCCACACGGCACATTGGGCTCGCCTGTGATGGACAGGGGAGGGGTGGGGGGGAGGGGAGGGGGGGGAGTGAGTGAGGGGGGATGACGAAGGGGTCTCGTACACTGGGAGGTGGCGAGGCGGGCTTTAGAGATCACTTGGCCGCAGGGCACACTGGGATCGCCTTTGATAGAAGGGGAAAGAACGAACGGACTCAGCACAAAACTCTTGAGGCGCCTCAAAAGGTGGCGAGGTGGGCTTTAAAGGTCAATTGCCCGCAGGGCACACTGGGATCGCCTTTGATAGAAGGGGAAAGAACGGACATGTGATCAACATGTGATCAACATGTGATCAACATGTGATCAACATGTGATCAACATGTGATCAACATGTGATCAACATGTGATCAACATGTGATCAACATGTGATCAACATGTGATCAACATGTGATCAACATGTGATCAACATGTGATAAACGTGTGATAAACATGTGATCAACATGTGATCTAACATCCATCCAACATGTGATCTTACTGGCGAATACCTCTCCCCCTGTACAAGCACATTCAGAATCTTTACCCGTTACAAGCACACCCGAAGGCACCTCCTCTGCTGCACCTGCACCTCCCATTCCCCCCCTTCCCCCCCTCCAGCGTACCTGTGATCTTAGTCGCGACGATCTCTCCCCCCTGTACAAGCACATTCAAAATCTCCACACCATGGGGTCCATACTCGCCCGTCCACAGCCCCTCCAACCCATACGCCCATGCAGGCACCTCCTCTGCTGCATCCCCCGTCCCCCCTCCTCCTTTGCCCTCTACCCCCTTCCTTCCTTCTCCTCTGCTCTCTTCCCCGCGCTCCTCCGCGCACCCATCTCCATCCATCATCCACCCTTCATGCCCCTCCATTCCCTCGCCTCCTCCCTCCGCCCCTAGAACTTCCTCCTTCATGCCATCCGCCTCCATCCCACCCGCGCCTATATTTGCGCCAGTACCCACTCCGTCAAAGCTCCCCCCGGCCCCATCCCCCCCTCCCTGCACCCCCGCGCGCACGTCACCCGCCCGCCTCTTCCCCGCCCCTCTCCGCCTCTCCCGCTCCTTCTCTCCACGGGTCAAGGGCACCCGGCTGTAGCTTGACTTTGGCACAGGCAGCCGTCTCACCTGCCCACTCACCTCATCCACCATCCCCCCATCCCCTCCGCGCTTCCACCCTCCCCCGAACCCCCCTCCCTCGAATCCGCCTCCCTGGAACCCTCCCCCTCCCCCTCCCCCTGCTCCGCCAATCCAGGACCACCCATGGCCCCCGGAACTACCTTCGCCAGTTCCGCCACCGCCAGTTCCGCCAGCGCCAGTTCCGCCTGCGCCAGCTCCGCCCGCCCCAGTTCCGCCTGCGCCAGCGGAGCTGCTGCTGCTGCTACCGCCTGGGCCCTGACTGCTGCTGCTGCCCCCGCCGTTGCCACTGCCGGATGCTAGCCCTTCTGCCACAAGAAACGCGCTCGGGAGCCACGGCTGCTGCTGCTGCTGCTGCTGCTGCAACGGCTGCTGTTCCTGCTGCTGTAACGGCTGCTGCAACGGTTGCAGTGACGGCAGGTGCCCGAATAGCTGTGCTCGGGACCCACCAGTCCCCACTCCTGCAAGTGCATCCGCCATCCCACCACCACCCCTCCCTTCCACACTCCCACCCTCCCTCCCATGCTCCCTCCCTCCCCTACTAGCATTGCTATTACCGCCCGCGTTGCCCCTAGCTGCATTGCCGCGGCCCAGCCCTCTGCCTGCCCCTGCTATTCCCGACAAGTACTGCAGTGCTCGCAGCTGTAGCCCTCTTCCGGCGCCGCCACCAGCAGCAGCCACCGGGGGCGCAGCAGGAGCAGCAATTGCAGCCGCAAGGGCAGCAGGAGTAGCAGCAGCAACACGAGCAGCAGCAGGACCAGCGAGACTGGCAGGAGCAACAGGAGCAGCAGCAGGAACAGCAGGAGCAGCAGGAACAGCAGGAGCAGCAGGAGGAGCAGCAGCAGCATTGGGAGCAGCAGCAGCAGCAGCAGCAGCAGCAGCAGCAGCAGCAGGAGCAGCAGCAGCATTGGGAGCAACAGCAGCAGCAGCAGCAGCAGTCCATCCTGCTGAAGCTTCCCTGAAGCCAGGGCGCTCCCGAGCCTCCGCTCCCAGCCACATGGATCGCGACACCTGGCGGCCCAACAGAGCATCTCCAACCTCCTGCTGCCGCCGCTGCTCCTCTTGCTGCTGCTGCTGCTCCCCATTATCGGCTGCTCCCGTTGCATTTCCAGCAGCAGCAACATTGGCACTCCCAGCAGCAGCAGCAGCAGCAGCAGCTCCGGCGAGCGTGCTGCTGGTATTGGAAGGGGCGTTTACCATGTAGCGCGCCAGCAGGGGATTCAACCGCGCCGCAGCAGCAGGGGAAACAGGCGGAGCAGCAGCAGCAGCAGCAGCAGCAGCAGCAGCAGCAGCAGCAGCAGCAGCAGCAGCAGCAGCAGCAGCGGAAGCAGCAGCAGCAGGAGAAGCAGCAGGAGAAGCAGCAGGAGGAGGAGGAGGAGCAGCGGCAGCAGAAGACGAGGGCGCGGGCGCAGGGGAAGAGAAGGCAGCATTCGGTGCAGCAAGGCGAGCAGACGATCCAAACAAACCAGCCGCATTCCCCCGAGACGCAGGGCGGGCGGCAGGGAGGAGGGTTTGCAGGTGGAACCTCTGGCGCTCGGCCGTCTCCCATACAAGCACACCCGGTAACTCCACAGTGTGCTGCTCCTCCAACCCGCGCCCGGCTAGGAGGCACAGCTGCGTTGTTCCGTCGGGGAGGGCTGAGATGAGGAAGAGACGCGCGCAGAGCAGCGACCCGTCTGGTGGTGAGAGAGGGGAAAGGGGATGGGAGAGGGGGGGAGGGAAAAGAAACAGGCGAGCTGAATTGAACTACCCCGAGACGCAGGGCGGGCGGCAGGGAGGAGGGTTTGCAGGTGGAACCTCTGTCTTTCAGCTGTCTCCCATACAAGCACACCCGGTAACTCCACAGTGTGCTGCTCCTCCAACCCGCGCCCGGCTAGGAGGCGCAGCTGCGTGGTTCCGTCGGGGAGGGCGGAGATGAGGAAGAGACGCGCGCAGAGCAGAGACCCGTCTGGATGGTAAGAGCGAGCGGGGGGGCATGGGGGGGGGGAGGGGGAGGAGAGGGGGGGGGGAGGGGGGGGGTGGGGGGCGTGTGAGGAAGATTAGCAGCTAAAATGCAATTAGAGGAGAATCAGAAAGCGCAGCTGTGTCGTTCCGTCAGGGAGGGCTGAGATGAGGACGAGAGGCGCGCAGAGCAGAGACTCGTCTGGAGGTAAGGGGGGACGGGAGCACATGAGGAAGATTAGTTGGAAAGGAAGATGGGTTTTGACGCGCCTCAGAAAATGCAGCTTCGTGGTTTTGTCGGGGATGGCTCTAGAGAGGAAGAGAGGCGCGCAGAGCAGAGAGCCATCTGGGGGCGAGAGGGGGAGCGGGCGAAGAAAATCTGCCAACTGTCAATTTAATTTGGAAGATGGAAGACATAATTGAGAATAGATGGAGAGAGTTCCTTCCGAGGAACATTTTTTTTTATTTTTTAAAGAAAATGTGGGCAGTGAGGAAGACAAAAAAGGTTCCCATGTTTGATGAATGATTTCTAATGTTACTGTAGAATGTTTCTTCAAAAAACTTACCAAGCCAGTCAGGAATGATGCGATAAGCGACCATGGACATCTTTTCCTGATAGAACGAGCAGAAACGGAAGAGAGAAGGGGAGCAGAGCAGATATGGGTTAGAAAGCAGACTGAATCACGGAACCGCGCGTTGAGCTGCGAAGAAGCGAACGTGGTGAATGATGCGGTGACGCGACGCAGGCGTTCATGTTGACACGACGTGCTTCAAACGCGGACAAGCCAGCGCGTCGCCACGGTTACGGAAGGCCTAATAGTCATGTTTTGACCTCGTGCTACAGAAACGCAACAATCAACCTTCGAAACTAACAAACAAACGCAATGCAGCAGCGATGGCAGGAAGAGAAATAGTAATAATAGGAATGAAGTGTTCTCACCCAACTAGCAAACAGCAGACCGCCACGTGGAGCCAAGTCATCAGCAGCCCAGACTCCAGCCAATGGATCGAGAGCTTTCAAGAGACGGAAGAGGCATTTCGGGGAACTCGTCTCGACGAGCCAATCTGAAATCGCCACGTCGGATTCCCACTGCTTGCACAGATTCAGCCAGACTTGGGGCCGATTAGCTAATGAGCGCAGCGTGCGACACGTGGCAGCGGCAGATAGTAGATCCTGATACTCTAACTCGTGAAGAATCTGAACAATCACATCCGTTGGTAAGAGTAGAAGGTCCATTTCTTTCCTCGCTATAATTTCCTCGAGATCGTAAGTCGACGGGTGAAGATAGGAGGGTTGTCAATTGCTGGAAATTGTTGTCAATTGTCGATTGATAATCGTCGATGGATGCTACTCGGCCTGACACGTTAGCAGGGAGAACGAGCGGAAATCACGCTACAACTACGGAGGCATTAACCCTAAACACCCAGGAACTGTACATTTCTCGAGTCGGCGCAAGCAGCAGCTTGGGAACGAAGCGGTTCGCACAGCATCTCACTCGTTCTTGAGCAAATGCTACTCATGACAACATTCCCCTCTAATAGAAGCTACTCTAACAGGAGCTACTCACTAGCGTTGACAGCACGACACAAGAACGTGAAACCCCGAATCAGGCTGTGAATTTACTTCCACACTTCACCTCACCCCACCCCATGTGCGCCTACAGTCTCGTCAATCATCTAATCAACGACAGTAAAACCTACGTCCTTCATTGGCTGAACTCACACGCTCGAGGCGGAACGAAACGAAACGAAACGAAACGCGAGGGAGTGAAAGAGAACGGATCAGATCAGGGAGGAAAATGATGTAGGGAAAGGGAGGAGGAAAGGACGGAAGTGAAGTCTCGAAACGGCAAGCAAGGGCAGCCGTCCGTTAGCTTGTGGGGATCTAACTACGTGGGCCCAATCGAGTTTGATGGCGACTGATCTGATCGGGTCGGATCTGATCGGGTTGCTTGTGATCGCGATGCCCGAGCCGCGCGATCAGAAATGTTTCTCGAAGAGGTTCATCAACGGCTGCTCAGCAAGTGCGACATATTTACCTAGCAGTTTCGTCCCCATTATAGCGAGATTGACGACCAGAAGTCACCTGGCGAAAATATTCGTTTCACAGTAAGCGCAACGTTGTAACTACTCGCAAGCAGCGCTGTAGGCCCCGATCACATGCAATCAAGTGATCGCCTGTGATCGAGGAAAATTGGCTCTGACCGGGGTGAAAATCGGGTCTGATCGAGTTGAGGCGATCAGTTGATCACGATCAGCCGATTGCCCCCGATTGCCTGAAATTGGATTCCAGGCTTCCTGGAAGTTCTTTACCGCGTGTGATCGAGGCGATCAGACTCGATCGGGCCCACGTCCTAAGGTGTAATCTCATTCAATCTGCTCTGTCACCGACTTTTATATTTCTTCGGATCCATCCCACAACAGTGGACCTTCATTTTTCTGTCAGTCATCTTGTGAACAGCAAGTCAAGCCCAAATAGAGAATATTAACGCAGTGTACTATAACGTATTGGTCCCATTCTAAGTTTCGGTCAGAACAGACACACCCACGATTCTTTTCTATCAATCCACACCACCATTTCAGGTCAGGACCGTCTGGAGGCGAACTTAGTGAGCCACCACCACCACCCGCTTCCCCCTTGCCAAACTGTTCACTGGCCAAAAGGAAGAACAAACCCAACTGGATCATGGACGGTGGCATGTCGAGCCACGAGTTTTGGCTCGAGTGATAGGCTCGGCTAGCGCCGATAATCCTGACCGTGTATTCCAAGCATGGATGCTCATTGCTTCAAAAAGCGGGAAGGTGCACCGTTAAAGGCAAGTCAACACGGCAGTCACAAAAGTGTATCATAAGTTTAGGTTTACTACCTAATTAACACACATTTGTTTACCTACTTCTAATAACACCACCTTGCAATGCACTAATACATGCATGACGTATGGCGGCAGCACGAGCCCACATAGACAGCAACTAAACAAGCGCTTGCATTAAAATCTGCTTCTCCAGTCTTCCCCTCTCCACAATGTGTGTATAAAGCAACTCATTCCACGTGTCAGGAACTCCAGGTAAGCACCAATGCATGCAGTCTTGTTGTCTCTTGGGCTTATGGAATTGTGTGTCCCATTTGGCTGGGTGTGCATCACCACGGTAGGCCGACAGGTGCGTGATGTTCAAAAGGCGTACTGATTTTCCCAACACTCCATCCTCCTTTTCAGCGTCCCTTGTTGTCATGTTGGCAACATCAATGTCCCCAAACGGATGCTGCCATGCAAGAATAAAAAAAAAATGGGGAAAAAGCAAAACAGCAAATGGAGTGAGGTAGCACATGGAGTGTTACATAAGTTAGCATGTGCATACAAAACAAATCTAGGAAAGTTAGTCTATACACTATCTCTACGTACCTTGATATGGTCGCATCGTCCTCTCGAGTTCCACTCCCCCTCCATGAAATGCCTCGGCGAAATCGATCGCAGAAACACCATCGGCTTCGTTTCCAAAGCTGGAAGCGTTACAGGCGAAAGCGTCATAGCTGAACTCAGAATTCCCCTCTTTCCCACCCCTGTTCCCTCTCCCCACCCTCCCTTCACCTGCAAACGTCCCTTGCCCATCCCCTTCAGTTGGTCATCAATCCACACAGACACCGACCGTATCGCCGTCCGCAACGCCAACGACACGGCCATCGGCCGACTTTCCACAGGCGGCGCTACGCTCCCATTCAGGAAGAAATGCAGGCCTTTCTCTATCATCTCATCCTCGTTCCAGTGATGTCCCGTGCTCAGAACCACCACATCCAGCTCCTTAAGAAAGTCTCTTAAGAAAGTGCCCGATCGGTCTAAGTGCATCGCACGGCCCAGCTTCCAGTCCCCCTTAAACGGCTTGATTCTACACAAGTAAGGCGTCCAGCGGAAAATCACTGTAGTGTTTGACGAAAGAAAACTGTACGCCAGCCCGGTTGGGTGGCGGTCCTCGGGCAGCTGAAAAAAACCATAGTTTGTGCCCACGTCTTGGACGGGGGAAGAGGGGTCAGACATGTTTTGGGGTGGACCTTCAGGGGAGAGCATGCAGAGCAGCGGCTGGAACTGCTGCTGGCTTAGCGAGTCCCCCACAAAGGCAATGCTCTTGTTGCGCATCCTGCAAGGAAAGGGGGAAGGAGTTCAGGATGGGGAAGGGGAGTGAATGGGGAGAAGGAGGCAATTGCCGCTGGCCTAGAGAGTCCCCCACAAAGGCAATGTGTGTGTCGCGCATTCCGAGAGGGTGGAAATGAAGGAGGAGAGGGAAAACCGTTTAGGTTAAGATCTCCAGGCAGATCAGCAACTGAAACTGCTGCTGGTCTAACGAGCCCCCCTGAAAGGCTATGAGATTGTTGTTGCGTGTATGAAGAAGTGTTTTGAGACGTCTCAAAACACTTCTTCATAGACGTGGCTAACGAGCCCTCCTGAAAGGCAATGAGATTTTTGTTGCGGATCCTGACAGGAAAGGAAGGTGAGGGGGAGGGGGGGGGAGAAGGGGGAGTGCATGGGGCGGAGCAGAGGGGAGCAGAGGAGGGGATCAGAGGGGAGCAGAGGAAGGGAGCACAGGAGGGGAGCACATGAGGGAAAAACAGAGGAGGGGAGCAGAGGAAAGGAGCAGAGGAAAGGAGCAGAGAAGGGGAGCAGAGGAGGGAAGCAGAGGAAAGGAGCAGAGAAGGGGAGCAGAGGAGGGGAGCAGAGGAGGGGAGCAGAGGAAAGGAGCAGAGAAGGGGAGCAGAGGAGGGGAGCAGAGGAGGGGAGCAGAGGAAAGGAGCAGAGAAGGGGAGCAGAGGAGGGGAGCAGAGGAGGGGAGCAGAGGAAAGGAGCAGAGAAGGGGAGCAGAGGAGGGGAGCAGAGGAGGGGAGCAGAGGAAAGGAGCAGAGAAGGGGAGCAGAGGAGGGGAGCAGAGGAGGGGAGCAGAGGAAAGGAGCAGAGAAGGGGAGCAGAGGAGGGGAGCAGAGGAAAGGAGCAGAGAAGGGGAGCAGAGGAGGGGAGCAGAGGAGGGGAGCAGAGGAAAGGAGCAGAGAAGGGGAGCAGAGGAGGGGAGCAGAGGAGGGGAGCAGAGGAAAGGAGCAGAGAAGGGGAGCAGAGGAGGAAAGCAGAGGAGGGGAGCAGAGGAAAGGAGCAGAGAAGGGGAGCAGAGGAGGGGAGCAGAGGAGGGGAGCAGACGAAAGGAGCAGAGAAGGGGAGCAGAGGAGGGGAGCAGAGGAGGGGAGCAGAGGAAAGGAGCAGAGAAGGGGAGCAGAGGAGGGGAGCAGAGGAGGGGAGCAGGAGGAAGGAATGTGGAGGTGAGTTGAGCCCTATCATTCACAGTCCTTCTCTCCTTGGCTTGTTGGCATGTCAGAGCAGGGGGAGCAGGTGAAGCAAAGGGGGCAGGTGAAGTAGAGGGGGCAGGTGAAGCAGAGGGGGCAGGTGAAGCAGAGGGGGCAGGTGAAGCAGAGGGGGCAGGTGAAGCAGAGGGGGCAGGTGAAGCAGAGGGGGCAGGTGAAGCAGAGGGAGCAGGTGAAGCAGAGGGGGCGGGTGAAGCAGAGGGGGCGGGTGAAGCAGAGGGAGCAGGTGAAGCAGAGGGGGCAGGTGAAGCAGAGGGAGCAGGTGAAGCAGAGGGGGCAGGTGAAGCAGAGGGGGCAGGTGAAGCAGAGGGAGCAGGTGAAGCAGAGGGGGCAGGTGAAGCAGAGGGGGCAGGTGAAGCCTTTTCCAGACCGAGCCGGCATACGGGGCGGACGTGCTGCGGCTGTGGGTGTCATTGGTGGACTACAGTGGCGACGTGGTGATCGGGCTGACCATCGTGAAGCAGATGAGCGACGTGTACCGCAAGCTAAGAGGCACTCTGCGCTTCTTGCTCGGCAACCTGCACGACTACCAGGTCAGCTGGCAGGGGCTGCAGGAGCTGTATGATTTCACTGGTCAGCTCCAAAACCTGCTCAGGTGTCTGAAGCACTAGGAGCACTTGGTTGACTTTTGAGTCAACTCAACCATCTCAACGGCACACTGCACTTTTTTCTCGACAACCTGCACGATTACGAGGTCTGATTTCCGACACGACCCAAAAGGCCTCGAAAACTTTATCACTGCACCACCTGACGGATGTCATGCCCGTTCATGCTCTTCCTCAATGCCCCATCCTTCCCTGCACACCTCCTCCCCTCCTACCCTCAGCCCTCCAAGGCAGTGCCCTACGCCAGCCTGCCTGCCCTGGACCGCTATGCACTGCGCCGGCTGGCTGATGTGA